TTTGATACTCTATATTTCTAATTGCAACAATAATATAGTAAGTTAGACAGTACTATCTAAAAAAGGAATTTCAATTAATTATTTTATTTAAATAATTACATCATGTAATTTTTTTGCCTTGTTTCTTTTCCATATTGAAGACGGATAGATGCGAATGCTGTGACATCTTGGGCGTGGACGGTGGCAAGGCGGAGGTTAAATTCAGGGAGTGTAAGCGAGATGAGATCATTGCTTAGGTTTCATATTGTGGAAGCACCGAGCATGCACACATATGGTTTCCTGTTTTTACATTTTTTGTATATCAACGGATTTTTCTATTTTGCGTTGCCTATTTTTTCAGTATATTTGGATTTATTAAATACTACTTGCTGTTTTTTTTGTTGCCTGTTATAAAAAGTAAATCTATTTATTTTTTACTAGTGTGTACCCCGTGCGATGCACGAGAATAATATTAAATTAATAACATTATAAATAAATCTCGAGTTAGAGTCACTCAATGACGAAAGTGGAAACTACTATTAATTCTATTTAAAAAGAGGAAGAAAAAAATAATTATAAATTAAAGAGGAGGATAAACAATACTTAATAATTATAAATTATAGATTCGGGGTCAAACAATGTAAAATTATTTTGTATAAGAGAATATAAAAAAATTTGATTACACACCATTTTAAAATTATTATTATACTTTTTTGTATGGTTAACTTATAATATTTGTAAAAATATTAGTAATTAGACAGATGAAAATTAGCTTATTAAAGTAGATAATGGATTTCTAGTAGTAATTATGAATTGGTTTCTATTTTATTTTATTTTTTCAAATTTGTATAGATAAGAGATGAGATTTTTTAAACACGTATCCAATGGGATTTTGTAACAGAAGAGATAAGCTAGTGTAGATTTATACTAAAAATAGAAAAAGAAAAATAAATATTTATTGTCAAACAACGATTTTGATAAACTAAAAAACAAGAAAAAGAGAAACAAATCTTAAACCTTTTTTTTTTGCAAAAGAGAAACAAATCTTTACACAATTAATGAACCGATTTTTTTGCCTATTCAGATTTGTCCAACAATTACTATATATAGGATATATTTAATGATATTGACGGAAAAATATTTCTATATTTGTAAAAAAGTTATTCTTTTTATATAATGATAGATTTGATATATAAAATATAACTATTAAATAGAATGAAGATCACGTGTTAAAATATAATTAATCTTTATAAACGAAAAACAGCAACAGATAAAAAAGTTTATTAAGTTTTGAACTAAATTAAAATTTAATTTGAATAAGAGTTATGTTGGAAAATAAATTCAATCTCCTTTACATAGACCTATAGTGAGCCAATTTGACCCTTAGCATTTCCTTTAGATTAAGCCACGTTACAAGCTACGGTATTCATTTTTTTTCATATACTCTTTTGAACCTTGAATTGAAGCAATTAAATGAATTCTTTGTATTGATGATGAGCTAATGTACGTAAACTTCACTGTGGTTTGTTTGAGGTTTAGTTATCTAACATCTACTAGTTATTGTCTTCTACCAGGAAAAAAAATGAAAAAAAAAAACAAAAGAAAAAAAAAAAAAAGTGATAAAATGAAAACATTAATGAAAAAAAAAAAGAGAAAAGAAATAAAGAAAAATGGATTAAATCCTATGATCGTATGTAGTGTTGTCTGTTGATTAGATAAATAATTAAAGATCGTATCCTGATTATCGAACAATTAAGGAAGGATAGATTGTTATTAGGTCGTACTAATCACCATAACCAGTTTAATTGACAGTCTCTTCAGAGACATCCGATAAAATTGAAACGATTCAGAGAAGATTAGCATGACCCCTGTGCACGGATGACACGTGTAAATCGAGGAACCAATTTAATTGAGAATAGAAAAATTCTTTTTGCATTCATGATCGAATTGATGGACCATCTCTATGAGTTTTTCCTTTGGTTGAATATTTTGTCAATTTGGTTCACGTCTTTTGTTTTTGTCTTTCTTTAGATTTTATTTGATTTTATTTTTCTAGTGAAATAAAATCATCAAAATCCCCCATCATTTTTATTTTTATTTCTTTCACGAATAGTTGCATCAATATTCTGTCTAGCCAATCCCTATGGATATACCCTGCTTACCACTACTACAGTCATTTTAGAAGCATGAATTTATTATTATTAGATTCGACACCCATCATTATCAATTAAATATTGACTATTAATTAAATACTAGTACAACAGCCGTGTATTACACAGATGCTTGTTAAAAAATTATTCTTAAATTTTAAAATTAATGAAAAAAATTATTTTAAATTTTATTTACATTTTTACAAAATATGTATATTATTATATATTTTTGAATGACACTTCTTATTTGTGCGACTTAAATGTGTTTTATTATAGTAATTTTTATAACTCATATCATATAACTACTTGAAATATAAATATATTAATTGATAAATAATTTTATTTTTTGAACTAATATTAAAAATAAATTTATTATTGTTATAAAGATAAATATATTTTAATTTTTTTATACATACAATATGGATGTTAAATCGAAGTTCATCAAGAGATGATTAATTTGATATGTTATATATGTAAAACTGTTAAAAAATACAAAAGTTATTAACTTTTAAAATATATTTACATTTCAATGGTTATAATAATAAATAATATTAAAATGCAGTTAATACATGTAACATGAAAATAAATAATCAATATATTTATGGATAATCCGGACCTAATTATTTTTGAATTGGAAGTAAATTAAAATGTACCTAAGCCTAATAACGAAGCATGTAATCTTGCCGCATAGGATCCCGAAGCATGCGGGTCAGCCACTTAGGCTCAGCACGTTCTGAGTTAATATACACTAGTACAATACCCGTGTAAATACACGGGTGTTGAATTAGGAAGCATATGTAAAAAATATTAATTTTTTTTAACTAAAAGAATTTAATTTTATATAAAACATTACTTTGGATTTAATTAAATTGTTAAATTATATTTTTTTAATCATAATAATTAAACACCCGTATACTAAACAAAAATTTCAACTCATAGTGAATTTTTGTACTTATATCATATAAAATTATCGATATTATTTACTATTATTAAGTAAAAAATATATATATCTTAAGTAAATAGAAATAATATGGTGATATGTACATGCATAAGTGCAGAATATGTTTGTTTAATATTAAGCAAAATAGATTAATTTTTTACTTAATTAGATTCCTAATACATCAAATGTCGTATCCGTCGTGCTTCACAGTTTTCTAACTTTATATGTCATTTTAGAATTTAGATAAATAATTATTTATTTTTATTAGATTGATAACATACCAATTAGACTTGAAATAAATATCATTTTTAAAAGAATACATACCAATTTCTATTACTTTATAATATAATTCATAGTTTTATTTGATATCTTTTAATTTAGTTTGATAAATAAACTTAAATTTTATTTATAAGAATATATATTACTATTTTGTATTTTATATATATAATATGGATGTCAAATAAAAAATCGTTAAAAAAGATAGTTAATTTGATATATCATATATAAAAAATAAAATACAAACAAAAAAGTTATAAAACCTTAAAATAATAAGAAGAAACATTTATAATAACTAATGAATAAATTAAATAAGAAACAGAAATGTAATGTATGGTAATGTAGGGAAAAGAAATATAAAATAATTTATGGTAACTAATTGTAGAAGTAAATAAAGAAAAAATCAATCATGTATTTAGTGTGATAAAAAATATTAATTTATATCCAAGTCTAACTTCAAAGCATGATTTTTGCTAAATAGAATTCCGAAGCATGAAAGTTTGCCACGTAGGCTCAACCTATTTTGAAATTATATAAAGAGATGGGATATGGGGATCCCATAGAATGAGGATCTTGCCTCCCAAATGTCAACCCAATCAAACCCGGCGGATTGTATAAAATTGAACCCACCATTTCTTGGAAAAACCTATTCTCTCATACTTACCCGCACATTAGATCATCACGTGATGAAGTTGAACATCACGGGTACGGTCTTCCTCAACAGAACCATGAATGTGCAACACCGCGCATGAGGGATCTCATCCACAAGGATTAGTGATTAGTTACGGCAAAATTACAAAAACGATACACTAAGTTGGGCGTTGTCAAGAAAAGAGACATTTTGTTGTTCCGCACGGAAAAGAAACATTTAATTGACATTTTAGTCGGAAAAGATACAGTAATCACCCCTGGAGGGATAAAGTGATGATGTGGTGGATTAAGTGATGAGTGACATTTAAACATTTCTTAATTTCATATGTGCTATATATGTGGCGTGATGTGCCATTACACTTAAATAAAAAAATTAAAAAAATAAAAAATCTAAAAAATAAAAAATAAAAAAATAATATATATTAAATATAAATATATTTCGGTTATATATATTAAAAAAATAAACAAATAATTAAAAAAAATAAAAAATTACAAAAATTAAAAATAAATTTTATTTTTACGTCGGAAGTCGAGTGATGGCGATCAAATCTTGTAATTTTTTTTTTAATATATAAACGAAATATATTTATATTTAATATATATTATTTTTTATTTTTTATTTTTTTTTTATTTTTTAATATTTTTTTATCTAGGTGTAATGCCACATCACGCCACATATATAACACATAGGAAATTAAGAAATGTTTAAATGCCATTCATCACTTAATCCCGCCACATCATCACTTAATCACGCCAGGGGTGATTACTGTATCTTTTCCAACCAAAATGCCAACTAAATATTTCTTTTCTGTGCGGAACAACAAAATGTCTCTTTTCTTGACAAACCCCCAACTTAGTGTATCTTTTTTGTAATTTTTCCCCGATTAGTTACACTATAAAAGCCGCCACAAACCCTCAAAAGAACACTCACCTCACCCACAGCAACACAAAGCAAAAAATAATCTCAGAAGAGTGGAAATAAATAAACAAATACAATAACAAACATGCAGAAAGTTGGATCGGCTCATCATAATGTGACTGTCTTAGGTTCGGGGGAGACCACAGTTGTCCTCGGCCATGGTAGCGGCTGTGACCAGTCGGTGTGGAAGCACCTTGTCCTACACCTCGTGGACGATTACACTGTCATTCTATACAATGACATTGGTGCCGGGACCACCGACCCCAACCTCTACGATTTCAAACGCTGCTCATCCGTCGATGGTACGTCCATGATTTGATCGCCATTCTGGACGAACTCAAAGTCGAGAGATGCATTTACGTCGGGCACTCGCTGTCCCCTTTGGTGGCCGCCATAGTCTCGATTTCCAGACCCAAACTGTTCCGTAAAGTGGTCATGATTTCCGCTACCCCGAGGTACATTATGATTAGTACTATCTTATATATATATAGCTGGTATATCTTTGAAATTTTTTTTGGGGGTTGTAATTAATTTGTAATGGCAATTTGATTAGAATGGCAAACTCGAAGGACTACTACGGAGGCACCGACCAGGAAGCTATGGACCATATGATGGCCGCCTTTGAGAAGAATCCCACATCTTTCTACGCGGACATGGCCCCGCTAATGGTGGGCGGTAGCCCGGACTCGGTGGCCGTGGAGGAGTTCAAAAGAACTATAGCTATGGAGCGGCAGAACATCGCCTTAAACAGGTCCCGCCTGATATTGTCTTACGACCTGAGGCCATACCTCGGCCAAATCATCGTCCCCTGCCACGTCATCCACAACTCCAAGGACGCGATTGTGCCGGTGGAGGTGGCTGATGTAACGCCCCACTTTTATTTGCCGAAAATCAGAATAAAATTTTGAAAATTTATTTCAATAAACACTTGAGGCGCTACTCATTTTCAAACGGTTTATTCATACTTAACCAAATTTTCAATACTCAATCATTCACCAATACTTAAACAATCATCAATACTCAATTATCAATACTCAAATTCGCAATCCAATAATCAAATCATCCTAGGGAGTACACTCCCTATCAATAATCCAGTAATCAATAATAAAGAAAACAGTAATAGCAATATTCAGTTCTAGGCGGAAGCAATATCAATTATTAAGACCACCACTCGCATCCCTCCGTCGTGCCCGCAACACTAACCTGCATCCATGAAGAGCAGGTGGGGATGAGCACAATAGGAAAATCGAGGTGCTCACCGCTATGCAATAATTAATATTCAATAATCAATAAACAATTTAGGTATGGTCGCAGCATGTATACGAATCAATAATCGTCCCATCTCCTATCAATAATCAATCATCGTCTCATGTGCACACCTATAGCAACAGACTACTGCTGAACGCCTTATCTAAGGCCTTACATCGAGTGCCCGGCCAGCAGGAGTAAATCCACCCTGAATGTCAACCACTTAAGGAAACGGAAAAACGAGCCAATTTGCCGTTTTAATTGCAAAAGCCATATATTTAAAAATACTAGATTTAAATCACAAAAATGAGTTGATCAGGCCATCATACGAATTTCACTCTGAAAATTTAACCAAAATTTCATCTCTCAGAGTTAAGCCAAACCATCAATTTTCTGCCCCAAACTCGAAGCATGCTATTTTATAATATTCGAGCAAGTTTATGGCAAAAACGAGCATGAAATTGCAACCAGATCAAATGAATAAATTAAGCTATGAAATTTTTATACCACAGACCACAACATGAGAGTGTTAACATATAAAAAATTCAGCCCTGGGCATTAACTGTACAAATTTTAAAAATTCCTACAATTTCCAGCAGTTATGGAATTTCAATCAAAACCAAACCAAATTGAAACAGTACGAAAACACACATAAAACAAGTACTCCAGCCAAGTTTTTAGAATTTTTCAACAATTAACCGATTTAAGATAAATAAAACAACTTTCTGCAGAATCAGAAAATAAATTCTTCACCCTATCAAACTTAGTCCACAAATAATGAAAATTTAACACAACCTCTAAAACAGAAAGGAGAACAACATATTCGAATTTCATCCATTTTCGAGCACTACACAATTAATTATGCAATTTAAATGAAACAGACCAGAAATCATTCTAATTTATTAAAATAGCTACAGACCTCCTAAAATCATGAAATTTTAACACAAGTCAGATGTTCAACAGAAGACATGACCCTAAAATTTCAAGGAAAACGGAGCAATACATAATTTTTAATAATTTCAACACCAAAACAACAGTTATTAAAGTTCGACAATTTATCTACGACTCGTTTTATGACGAATTCGTTCGAAGTCTTCGCCATAAGACTAGAACATTACAACGTTCCAATCCACAGCGACTAATTCACGAGTTGACGAGGTCTCGTTCGATTTCTCAAAATCGAAGAGATCGTGTACATATATTCAACATATTTTTGAACTTGCGGACACATAAACAACGTAGGTATGTATTTAAATTCATGAAGCACATTCAACACCCATCTCACATAATTGCACACATAAAATAATACGTATAATCTAAACGAGACGGGTCGAGCCTTGTACCGTTCTCGGGATTCGTTCGAAAACGGGACGAAGGACACGAACAGGGGCGACGGTTAACTCGCGATGAACGAGGCGGTGTTTGTCCCATTTTTGTGTCTTTATTTCATGTTTATTTTCTTCTTGTCCCGAGAATATTTGTTTGAACCGAAATCGTGCCCGTGAGCCGAGTTATTTTCTCGAAACCTGCACGCGAACCGGCCCCGACCCAGTTTCCCTCTTGTGTGTGTGATTTATTTTCTTGCTCGCCAAGACTTGTAAACCTAGTCTAGGTTATCTGTTCAAACACACGCCGGTCACTCTGAATCTCTTTTCTCTCACCTAAATCAATCGCCCGCAGACAAAACTTCTCACGCCCAAAAATCTCATCGTCCTTCCTCTCGCACAGATCGCCATCATCCTCTCCTTTCTTCTGCAAAAATCCCGTCGAGGCCACCACCTCGCTCTCCCTCTTTTCCCGCACTTCCGATCGCCATACCCAGCCTCCGGCGACCCTCTTTCTTCCTCTGCGAGGCGTCACCGCGACCTGCAACCGGCGCGCCTCCTTCCTCCGCGAGGCGTCACCTTTCCGCGAGCAGACCTGGCGAATTCCTTCCGGCGACCCACCACGCGCAGGCCTCGCTCCGCCACGTCGCTTTCTACCACCAGCGAACCCCGACCACGTCCGACTAGACCAATTAACCTCTGTTGGCATGACGAGTCCGCCGACTCCCGCCCCGTCACGCCATTCAGCCGCCGTTTGGAGATTGCTCGGTCTAAGGGCCTTTTTCCGGTGAATTGAGCACCATCCGAGCGTGGACTTTTCGTGGTCCGAGGTGCCTTTGTTCCGAGCGGCGACCGGGAGTTTGAGCAGTGGCAGTCGGGCCGCTTTCGAGGACGTGTGAGTGTCCGGGCTGCAGCGAACTGGGCCAATTTTTCCCAGAAAAGAGAGCCGATATTTTGTAGCCGAGACCCGAACCTTTTCTCGATTTTTATTTCTGACGAGAGGTATTAATGGCTGAAACTTATGCCTTTTGTCTTGGTCGAGTTAGTGGTGTTTTTAATGTGCCTAGTTTTAGTTTTTATGTGCAAGTTAAAGCCTGCTTTACTGTGAATTGTTGAATCTCTGATGTCAGTTTTACGGGCTGATATGATGTGCAATTTTATGCCGATATCTGTTGAGGTGATACATGAGTTTAAGGGAGCTGCTATGAGCCTTTATGAGAAGTCTTATGGGCCGAAAGTATGTACTTGTTGTTTTGGTGCCTTTTTATTTTATTTGTTTTTGTTATAACTTGGGTGCTGAGTTAATGTGCTATTTTGTAAGCTGTAATGTGGTATATGCTGAGCCTGTTGATGAGTATGTTGCTGAAGTGAAGTTTTCTTTTAACCATTTTATATCTCAATTTAAAAAAAAAAATGGCAAGTGTTTGAGAAAGAAATAAGATGTGTTGTTGTGTGTATGAATATTCTTCCTGTTATGTGTTGATAATGGATTTAAACTTCGGTTGTTGTGGTTTATAGAATTAAGGTTAAGCTGAGTGGATGATAATTTATCTATGCTGTAGGAAGATAATTTTTTTAGAGTAATGTATCTCAATTATTCATAGCCTTCATTTTGGTGTTAAAACCTTAATTTTTTTTTTTATGATGTGAAAATGGGAAAGGTATATGTTCTGTTATTTGATTTACTTTGAGCCTGGGCTTTATGTTTAGCATTGCTGGTATGTATGCATTTGGGAGTGTTTTTATGCTTAGTTAAGGCATTATGACTTTTATTTTCTTAAACAAGAGATAAGAGAAGGCTATGTCATGTGTTTTGAATGCTTTGATTGAATGCTTATGTGTTGTACCTTATGTGTATTATAAGTTAGACTTATTGTTTTTGAGCTTTGATTGATTATATTTGGTGTTGAGCCTTTTGATGCGGTCCAGTAGTTGAAGTGTGCTTTACTTGCTTATGTGGCCTAGTCAACCTCAACCAAAACCCTTAATAATAATTAAATCCCTCATTTTTAGGTTTGAGGAGTCGAGCCCTTGACCTACGTTCTTCAGCTTTTTTATGCTTTTTGCTACTTCGGTAACCAGGTGGGTACATTTATGATGTATTCCATATTTATCGCACTTAATATTTTGTATAAATGCTTTGTTTTGAAAAATGATGTATGCGTGAGAACCCTAGTCTAAGTGTCCCGTATGTTAGTGCCTTTGAGGAATGCATAAACGGTGAGAGGTCATCGGCCCGTAGATTCGGAGAGGTGACGCCCAGGTCCGTATGATATTCGTGAATGGGAAAAACATCTCTACTGTCTCCTGGAAAGGATCCCAGGCCCGTAGCCATTCGGTGATGGGAAGGTTTCCAGTTACTTCCTTGCCGTGTGTGATCGGAAGGTTGTTGTATGTACATAGGAGGTTTGCGATAGGGCCAAGTAGGGAGTTAGACTGTTGGATTCTATGCATACTGAATACTATGGTTTGATGGTTGAAAATGTTATGCGAGATAAACTGTGCGATAATGGGGAGCTTGTTGGTTATGCTCACCCCCATTATTTTTCTTTGTTGTGTCTTCTCTTCCTTTGCTTTAGGTTGAGACGAGTTGGAGGTGGTGGCGTAAAGACGAGCGAGATGGTGGTCATTTAGTCTTTTGCTTTCGCTTGATTTTATTTATGTTAAACTACTTGCTTTTGTTTTGGATTGTTAATGCTTCCGTAGATTTGGATTATTTATTTCTTCTCTTTCGAACTATGTTGAATTTCGTTTGAACCTTAATTTCATGCTAGTCGTTTGGGAATGATTTTGAAATTTATGATTTATGAGAGTGCCATTTTGATAGCTCGAGCATGTGTAGGTTCATTGGATTGATTGATTGAGTGTGTTTATTTGTTGTGTTTAATAAGTAGTGCCCGTTTCTCGATAAATGTTTTAACTTAGTTTTTTTTTTTTAAAAAAAATAATAACTCTGATTTTTATTAAATAAATTCGGTAAATTCTTTAAAATAAAACGGGGCGTTACAACAACCCTCCTCCTTTACCAGGGCTTGGGACCTGCTATGTTGAGACAACATAGGCGGAGTTAGACAATACTCTTATCTTAATTTGTATAATATTTCTGTAACCTGCATTTAATTTAATTTCTTAGGTTTGTAATTACTCCTACCATCTTCTCTGCTCTCTATAAATATTATCATGTTCTTGTGAACTATGATAGAATTTTGTACTTGTGTTTATTGCATAAAAAAATCTTGGTTTTTGAATTGTGTCCTTGTGTATAAGTTAGGAAATTGATGTTTATATTACAAAAATATGATGAATTTTGATTGTTATTTAGTTGTGCCTTTTACAGTTAATTTGGTTTGCAGTTTGTTTGAAGAGATAACTATAATGTTGACAAAGTCGTAGCTCAAAACTTACTTATGTAGCTGTTTTTTTACATATTGCTGTCATTACATAGCTCTCAGTTTCTACTTTATATTTATCTGAATTAAATTCTTCAAGAGGGATGGTAGGACCTTTCAATATTATTTTTAGTGCAACTCAGTGTTTTGGCATGCTGTTTATGTCCAGATACCACAATATTTGAGCCTTTATGAGTATAATGGATTTAGATCATTGGGGTATAATGAAAATTTCTGACATTTGTTAATCTCATGTGTACTGATAGTTATATTTGTACTGATGTTGATGTTGATGTTGATAGTCTGTTCCAGTAAACCCGAAGCCTTTTCTGAACAATTTGATTGGGAAGCCAGTAATGGTGAAACTCAAATGGGGAATGGAATATAAAGGTATTTTTGTCTGTGTGATCCTTAGAAGTTCCGAATGTTTGTTCTTTATCTACAATCTGCATTCGATTATCAATTTGGTTTTTAACCATCTCTTTCTGGGATTCTCTCTTCAGGATTTCTCGTATCAGTGGATTCTTACATGAATTTGCAGGTATAGTAAGTTATGATAATTTAGAGCATGTTTGGATATAAAATTATTTTATGTTGTTGGATTTTTTGGTTTGGTTTGGTTAATTTTGAAAAAAGTTGGTATAATTAGTTATTAGTTGTATATTAAAATAATATTTAAAATAAAATAATAAAAACTGATTTGATGTAAAAGTAGGAGAGAGATGATTGGAAGTGATGATTAGTTAAAATAATGTGAGTGGATGAATAGTGAATTAAGGTTGATATGGTGTGTTGAATGATTGATTGATATTACTTAATTATATTGATAATATTGATGATAGTGGGGTTGAGGTAAAATTGTTTTGAAAAAAAGGTTGAGTTAAAATGTTGATTTTTTTTTGAAATTTTTTGTATGCAAACATACGCTTAGTTTTTGTGCATCTTTTTCACCTTTTAATGATATATTTGGACATTGTGTTGTGAAACTAAAACATATGCTGAAATAATTGTGGTTGTTGTTGTTGTTGTTGTTGTTTTTCTTGAGCTGTGGACATGCTTAAATATGACTCTTAGTGTGAGGAGATTGTTTAGCTTACTTATGAATTTCAGTTTATTATGTTGCCAAGAATGTCTTTTACCCTGTATGGTTTGCTACTCTTAGTTTTTTGATTTTTGACATAATGTATGCTATAGGGTAATCTAATTTCTCAATCTCTAGGTAGAATTACTTGAATCTATTACAACTATTTGTTTATTTGTGTAATGCCTTAAATTTAAATGTATGGAGCTCCATGAATGTTAAAATGGAAGATGTAATTGTAAAATAAAAAAAGCAACGATTGATTAGTGTACCAAAGTCTCAAGACGGATAATGCTTTGTAGGGGTATCAATCTTCTCAAGTTCCGAATTCCAAGTTAGCCCGTTTTAGCACCAATGCCGCAAATGTTAATACATTTTCAGATGACGTAAATGTCCCGAATATTTCTGGAGCCTGTTCCCTGATAGAGAAAAGCAACTCTGAAAGGCCGCTAAAAGAATTTCACAAAACTCCCCAAACATACAGTTTAGGGATTGCAAATGATCGTTTGGTGAGAAAACCGAGCGTGAGCTCACATTTGGATATCCAAGGCTCTTCAGAAGTTTGGCTGCACGATATCAGACAGTTGAATTGTGAATTTCATGATTCTTTGGGATTAAGGTACGAGAAGAAGAGACGTGATGAGTTATTGAGTCTATTTTCACGAACGCGTGACTGCACTATTCCTCTGCATGATGGCACTGTTGCTGATACTTTGCGGTCCTACACTGGTACCAATGTATCATATTTTGTCAAACAAATTCATGCAAAAGTCATCCGTTTTGGTTTAAATACGAGCCCACCTTTTTGTAATCCTCTCATTGATTTTTACCTCAAGAATGAATACATAGATTCTGCGATCCAAACTTTTAAAAATATGCTCGCAAAGGACAGTGTCACCTGGGTTGCAATAATATCAGGCCTGTCCCAAAATGGTCGTCATGTTGAGGCTATCCTTCTTTACTCTGAGATGCGGAAGTTGGGTGTATACCCAACTCCTTATGTCTTTTCGAGCATCATAAGTGCCTGCACCAAGATAAACTCTTTCGAACTTGGGGGCCAATTTCATGCTCTAATCATAAAGTGGGGCTTTTCATCTGAGCTTTTCGTGTGCAACTCCCTGGTCACGCATTATTCTCGATGCGGGAATTTATCATCAGCTGAACTGATATTCGATGGGATGTCACATAAGGATAAAGTCACGTTCAACACTCTAATTTCGGGCTTTGCCACTCAGGGATCAAAGGAGAAATCTCTTGAGTTGTTCGATAAAATGCAGACCGAGTCCTTAAAGCCCGATTGTGTTACAGTTGCGAGCCTATTTGGAATTTGTGCATCAATGGGGGATCTTTGCAAGGGAACTCAGCTGCATGCTTACGCAGTCAAGGAGGGGATGTGTTTGGATGTCATCATTGAGGGATCTCTGCTAAACCTTTACGTAAGATGCTCGGACATAAAAGCAGCCAATAGATTTTTCCTTGAAACTCAAAATAATAATGTGGTACTATGGAATGTGATGCTAGTGGCCTATGGGCAAATGGGTGAACTTCAAGAGTCCGTCCGGATTTATTCAAATATGCTTATTGCCGGTCTGCAGCCTAACGAGCACACTTACCCTAATATCCTGAGAACATGCACGTCTGCCGGGGCCCTCGATTTGGGTGAGCAAGTCCACACCCAAGTCATCAAAACCGGATTCCAGCCAAATGTGTATGTGTGTAGCGTGTTAATTGACATGTATGCAAAGCATGGAGTATTAGAATCCGCCTTGAAAATTTTTAGGCGCCTTAAAGAGGAAGATGTGGTTTCTTGGACGGCCATGATTTCCGGGTATGCCCAGCACGACATGTTCCATGAAGCAATAAAACTTTTTGAAGAAATGCAAGCACGAGAGATCCGTTCGGACAACATAGGATTGGCAAGCGTCATAAGCGCTTGTGCAGGAATTCAAGCGCTCGATCAGGGACGTCAGATTCATAGCCAGTCTATTGTGTCGGGATACTCTTTGGATGTTTCGATAGGGAATGCACTCGTTTGTCTATATGCTAGGTGCGGCTGCACGAGGGAGGCCGACTCGGCATTTGAGAGAATTAATCCGAAAGACAATATTTCTTGGAATGGGTTCATATCTGGACTTGGGCAGAGTGGAAACAGTGAAGATGCTCTGAAGGTTTTCGCTCAAATGATTCGGGCTGGAGAGAAGGCCAATATGTTCACCTACGGTTCTGCAGTTAGTGCGGCCGCAAACCTGACGAAAAAAAATCTCGGTAAACAAATTCACGGCAGGATTATAAAAACTGGGTACGATACCGAGACTGAAGTCTGCAACGTCTTGGTCACTCTGTACGCGAAATGCGGGTGCCTTAGTGGGGCCCGCAAGGTTTTCCTCGAGAATCCTCGGAAAAACGAAGTCTCGTGGAATGCTATGATCACGGGTTACTCTCAGCACGGGCATGGCGTGCGAGCCATAGAGCTCTTCGAAGACATGAAGAGGATGCGAATAAATCCGAACCACATAACATTCGTGGGAGTTTTGACCGCCTGTAGCCACGTGGGATTAGTGGAGGAAGGGCTCGAATATTTCAAATCCATGAACGAGAATCACGGCTTAATCCCAAATCAGGATCATTATGCCTGTGTAGTCGATGTTCTCGGACGTGCAGGTCAAATTCGCCGCGCGAGTGAATTTGTGGAGTCAATGCCCCTCAAACCAGATGCAATGGTCTGGAGGACTCTCTTGAGCGCCTGCACGGTTCACAAGAACAGAGAAATCGGGGAGTTTGCCGCTAAGCGTCTCTTGGAATTGGAGCCCAAGGACTCGGCTACTTACGTGCTCATGTCCAACATGTACGCGGTCACAGGCAAATGGGACGATCGTGATCGAACGAGAAGGCTCATGAGAGACAAAGGCGTGAAGAAGGAGCCAGGCCGTAGTTGGGTCGAGATAAAGGACTCGGTCCATGCATTTTTTGTTGGGGATAGGCTTCACCCTCTTACGAAAGAGATTTATGGGTATTTGGAGGTTTTGAACGAGCGTGTAGCTGAGATCGGGTACGTGCAGGACCGTGGGAGCTTGTGGAGTGAGTCGGAGCTCGGGCAGAAGGACCCGACTGAGCTCGTACACAGTGAGAAACTGGCAGTTGCTTTCGGGCTCATGAGCCTGCCTGGTGTGATTCCCTTGCACGTTATGAAGAATCTGCGTGTTTGTAACGATTGTCATAAATGGATCAAGTTCATATCGAGGGTTGCTGATCGGGCTATTGTTGTACGGGATGCATACAGGTTTCATCATTTTGAAAACGGGTTTTGTTCGTGTAAAGACTATTGGTGACTTGGAATGGTGGACTGGAGGATATTGAGTGGAAAAATATAATTCTGCTGTTTGGCATCAGGTAATCAGATCCAACTAGAAAGCTCATGCTCTTACAATTAGACTAAGCTTCGGGGGTTAATTTTGTTTTATTTTTATTTTTATTTATTTATTTATGTTAACAGAAGGGAGCTTCAGGAGGAAATTGGCATTACACTTCCAAAGGATGCATTCGAGTTGCTATTTGTTTTTCTCCAAGAATGGTTTGTCCTGAATTTGCTGTCTTTTGAGGCTTACTAGTGAAAATTGTTGATTTTTTGAGGCATTTGATTTTCATAATTGGTGAGTTGTGGATGCGACTGATCTTGTATAACATATTTGTTTTGTCATTAATTGTTTTTAAATTCACTAAAATTGTGTTCGTAAAGATAAAAACTGAGTTTTGTTTGTATATTCTTTATGCCTTTCGTTTTTATTTTCTTTCTTCTGTCTTTTGCTGTTGAGTTAGGATTTTTGGAAACCAGCTTTTGTTTCTTTTTGGCCTTGGGTATACAGATCCAGCTTATGCTGCAGCCATACAGCCTGCTATCCCAGTTTTTACATTTGTGCTAGCTGTTATCAAGGGGTCAGTAAGTCTCTCTTTCCAAGCTATTTCTATGGTATTTTGCATGCATGATGCTAGATATTGGTACTGATTTCCATATTTTCTGCTGATACCGTCATAGTTATTTGATACTCTTCTTTGTATCCTATGTGCAGTACAGAAACAGTGAACTTATGGAAAATTGAAGGCCAAACAAAGTTAGGAGGCACTTTTGTTTGTGTGTCTGGTGCCATTCTAATGGCTATGTTCCGTGGTCCAGCTGTGTTTGGACATGAGGAAGCAGACTTTACCTAAATGGGGAGATAGGAGCAAAGGGCCAGCCGGAGCCTGCTGCTTGGTTTATTTCTACTTCAATGGGGTTAGGGATTGACAGTTGGAACCTTGGGGTTTTATGCTTAATTGGGAACTGCATGTGCATGGCGGCATATCTGGCGTTTCAAGTAATTTTTTACAAATTTATAAGCAAATTTTCATCTCTTGTTCGTACTGAATTTCAAATAACTTTCTTTGTTTTAGTATTTATTGACTCTTATCGATTTGTCAGTCAGTGTTCTCTTGTATTCACACAGATTGTCCATATATATATGGGAACCCTTTACTATTCTCATCATCTTATGCTGCTTTCAGCTTTCAGAAGCTTGAATAGGATTCGGTAGTATGCTTTTGTTTGAGGATTAAAAAATGTGTCAAATCTTTGTGTTCCGCATCATAATAGCTTGTTTCATCAACCAAAATGATAGACGTATTTAATTTGATTTTGATAGCATATATGGAATTTTATGTAGTCTTATTGGTGGCTCTGTTTTGTTTAATGTCTATCAGGCTCCAGTTTTGACCAAGTATCCTGCAAATATATCAGTGACGGCCTATTCTTATTTCTTCGGTGTACTGTTTATGATAGCGACTGCATTCTTTTTGACTGATGAGTCAGCAGAATGGAAGCTCTCAAAATCAGAGGCTGTAGCAGTTTGCTATGCTGTAAGCTATCTCTTCTGTTTCTATATATGGGTGTGTGCGGAAGCTAGAGAGCCATTATTAGTAACTGCTGCTTTGATTGGTCCACACCTTGTGTTTCTTCTATCTTTATATATGTTATATATAAAAGGAAGATTCCTCATGACCTTTTTCTGATTTGTCTTCTTTATCCAAAGATATGAAAATAAGGAGGCAATGGATAATAAGGTTATCGACATTTTTTGACATTTAAGGAATCTGCAGGCTGAGCTCATATGAGGTTATGGACCTAAAGATCTCTTTGTTTAGTAAACTTTTATACAGTTGGAGTCACAATGTTTCTCAACCCATTTCTATTACTCTAAGTAGTAAGTTCTTTATATGATTTATGAATTTGAATGGTAGATCTTACTCTTGGATTATTGTCTTTTCATTCATTCTTTAGTTTTCCTTATGTTTCCTTGTCGCTGTAGGGAATAATAGCATCAGCTCTGAACTATGTGATTATGACATGGTCAAACACGATCCTTGGTCCTGCCTTGGTTGCTATTTATAATCCACTTCAACCTGCTGCATCAGCTTTTCTCTCCAAAATTTTCCTGGGAAGCACAATTTATTTGGGAAGGTACATTCTGTATTTCTTCATAATATTTGCACCTTCCATTCTGATATAGTTGACATTTTTCCTCTTTTCTTTTGTCCCAAATTTATTATCATTTTAAGATTTTAAGGCATTTTTTGGTCCAAGAAGTCCAAATTGCTGTTATTTATTGTGAAAAACAAATTTGGTTTGTACAATGAGTGTTAGAGTAGGAAATACATTAAATAACCCTATTTAAATAAGAATGAATGTCATTTCTTTAGATTTTTAATTCGTATAATATCTTTAAAACAATAATATTTTCAGACGAGGAATTATACAATACATCAGATTTTTGGCTTCTCTGACCGCAAGGATCTTTTATTTTATTTTTGTTGAAAGCAGTTCTTGTAGCCATGTTATGGTGACATTTTCAATTTACTCGTTGTAGGCGAGATTTATCTATTAAGGATCCAAAAAGTATGTTTTAGACATAACGTGTTTTTTGAGAATTCATTTCTACTTTAGGATTGAAAATAAAATGCATTGTGCTAATTCGTGTGAAATCAACACAACTATCAAGTATTATATATATATAAATCTATATGCATATTCTCATCTAAATCGATCTTCCATAAGATCTTGTGATTTCCACATAATTGAAATCATTATTTTTACGTGGCTATGGATTCTTTTATAACAAACAGCATTCTTGGAGGAATACTGATCATAGCTGGGCTTTATATGGTCACTTGGGCATCCTATTCAGAAAGACAAACGAGCCTATTAATTCCTCCTGCTGCTCATTCATCTGAACCACTCATCAATAGGCATTCATCTTGGGACAAGATTTCGTATATGGTTGGCCAGGTTTTTCCGGGCCCTTCGAACTCGAGATCAAAGGCTATCGATTGAACTCCCAACTTTTGTGGTAAGCAGTTGAAGGTAGCAATAATTTGTATTTTTGTAATTTTCATTATCAGATGCTATGGGATTTGGTGGCCGTGGAGGAGTTCAAAAGAACCATGGTTAAGGAGCGGCCGCACATTGTCTTACACAGGGGCCGCTGGATATTCTCTTATGACCTGAGGCCATACCTCGGCCAAATCACCGTCCCCTGCCACGTCATCCACAGCTCCAAGGACGCGATTGTGCCGGTGGAGGTGGCTGAGTACATCCACCGGAGCCTGGGCGGGAAGTCGGTTTTGGAGCTGATTCCGGCAGAGGGTCACTTGCCGCATCTCAGCTGCCCGGAGGTCACAAACCCAGTGCTGCTCCGCCATATGCGCCAGGACATCTAGTTATTGGGCTTGGTTTGATGTCATTAATTATAGTCTGCTATTGGCCGGTGCTAGTTACTTTATATTGAATCCTTTTCATTGAATAAAAATGATCCTTGTAGTCTGCTATACGCCAGGACATCTTGTATCGTTTGATGTTGATCCTTTTGGTTGAATCAAGATTGTTTTGAAGCTAAGTTGTCCCGTTAACAATTTATTCATTGTTGAATTCGTAGGGGTACTCTTTCGGGACATTTTAAGGACAAACCAAGGCCGGACAACACGCTTAATTCAAATCATGTAACTTTTTTACGTATCGAATATTTACCCTCAATAAATTTATATACTATTAAGATCGAAACGTAGGTATTTTACGATGAGTGCGCTCAACGTTGTTAAAACACAAATAAACAACTAGAATAGCGGAAGCAATAAATCGAAGATTTAAAAACTCTTCAGGAAAGCGTCTTACTTCCTCTTTTTGTGCACACTTGTATAGTTTTGGAATTACAGCAACTAGAACTCTCTTCTAGCCTAACCAACAACTACACACGTTTCTATCAACTACTTCTCCGGCCACATCCTGTGGACTTTTATTCTCGCTAAAAACCTGTACTTAATCCCTAAGTACTGATCACAAAAGTGTTTGAATGAAAAACAAAGCAATCAAAACAAAAGACTTCAGTTCTTCGAATGACGTAAGAACACCGAAAACTGAGCTACGAAAATAAAACCTAAAAGGCTTGAAGCTTTAATATTATGTAAATGATAATGATCTCTTCTACTCTGATTCGATCTTCAAGTGGGTATCTATACAGCCTCCTTAGGGTTGGAGTCTTCTCCAAGCATAGGACTCCTTTTTTGATTTCCTTCCTATTAAGTAGCAAGATATTTGGCAAGTGATGATCTCCTTCTTCTCTCTCCAAGATCTCCTTCTAATGCATGCCTCTCTTTCCTTATCTCCATAGGATCCGATTTCCTACACAAAATAAATCACAATAAGATCAAGTAATCTAATATATATGTATATAAATCGAATATATAAATATAAATATAAATAAATTCGAATATATAAATATAAATATAAATAAAAGAACTTCCCTTTTTTATTTCTCATGCTTGCAAGAACATATCTTCATTTATATTAATTTTTGACTTCATTGCCAAAAATATAACTCTTTCAAAGATAACTCCAAAAAATAAATGGAGTAAAAAATACAGAGAAGAATAAAATGATTAAAAAAAATCATAATATATTTTATTAATTCCACATACCGTCACTAATAGACTTGATATAAAATATTAATATGAAGAAGTTTTAACAATATTGTCATATGAGCAAGTTAACAATATTTGATCGATAAAATAAATTTGCTCTCGTCTTTCTTTATGAGTCCCATAATAAGAAAAAACATTATTTATGCGACACCACGTATAGTGTAACAAACCATGTAATTTACAATTTTCAATCCGGATTCTGGAAGGTCAATTGTTTATTAAATTATATTTGTACATTTTTTAATTTTTTATTAACTAGTAAAATGCACGTGCGATGCACGTGATACATAATTTATATTTTAATGTAATTTTAAATTATATTTTCTCTTTTATATTTTTATGATCTATTCTATTTTTTGCATTACTATTTTCAATTAAGCAAACACAAGAAGTACATTACATAATGGACAGTGTCCAATATATCAAAAGTTGAAATACAATTGTGAAAATAATAATATATAAAATTAATGGTTAAAAACATTGCATGAAAATTTTGGTTGAGAAACCTCCATTATCTAAGTTAGTCTTGTTTATTCAAAATATTTTTTGTTAGCGGAAGTTTGACAAATATAACAGTAATACTAAATTAAAATATTTTACATGAATAATTGCATGTGATAGTTTAAAATTTTGTCTTTTTTCTTCTTGAAGGGGATCATTCTTTGTCATTATTTTTATTGACTAAATACAACAGTTATAATTCAACTGACATATGTTAGCAAAGTTTTTAAATATTATTCATTTTATCATTCATGTTTTCCAGTAAAATAATAGTTTTGGTCGAATTTTTAACTTTTCTTCATTCAAATACAATTATATTTTTCATGAACCATTACAAACATATGGTACACAATTTGATTTAGATTTCAAAAATCTTAAAAGATAATTCAAAAACATTAAAAATAATTATTTGGTAAATTATATTTTATTTTTTGCTTAAGAAATAAATTGATTTAAATTAAATATTCATATTATGTATAATTAGCGATAGTTTTGATTTTCAGATCACATTTAATGCTAAAATAATTATGATTGAATAACTTGTGTAAATATCAACCAGTTAATGTGTAGTAAACCACATAATGGGAAATGCTACAATCTCGTATGTTTGTAATATTATAAAATAATATTCTATTTTATTTTTTTAAACTATCTATTTAAATTTTCTTTTCCAACTCATTTAGCAAGTTTTTTATTAAAAAAATTAATTAGTTTAATTTTGTGGCCTAACTAAAGCTCTTAAAATTCCTTAGACAATTGGTATAACAATAATTTCAATGTTATTTTATCTAAGTAATTAGTTATAATCAGATATTATTGAAAAAAATACATTATTGCAATCAATATAAAGTTTAATTTATAAGTTAAATAGTTTATATTTATATCATCATTTTAACTAACGATAAAATTTATAAATTTGTCATGCTCATTTTCTAACTTATGATTTGAAATATTACCTACACACATATAACATATAATTTTTTTATTTTATTTTATTTTTTTGTATATGTGTATGTGCACAAAATCAAATACTAATTTATTGTAATTATAATACCGTGATTATATTTAATAGGAATAGCCAAAGTTATCAATTAGCTTCTAAATCCGTTTATTCACACACATATAAAACACTTATTTTGAAAAACCAACTTATCCATTAGTCAATTTAAAATTGTTTGAAAACACTTTTGGATGCAAAATTCCATTTGGGTAATTTATCAATATTTGAATGTTAAATTAAGAATTTACTTCTAAATTAGTTAAATCGACTCCCCAAAAATACTCAATTCTCCAAAAATGCTCCCAATTACAATCACTATTTCTCATAATTTACTCATTCAGTCCTATCAAATTTTATTTTATCTCACCAATCATGCCATAGATCACAATCACATCACACAATCATTAGGGGCTACATCCACTTGTACTAGTATAAATACCCTCACATACACTTGTTAATGAACATCATCACTTAACACAAAAAACACTCTATAATTAACATCAATATATCTCATCAACATGAGTATCACTCTTGCCAAAACCCTCCTCATCTCCTACTTCTCTCTTTTCTTGCTAATTCACTCGGGCCCACGTGCTCGGGTCCACGCCCTTCCGCCACCCGACCGCGGAGACCCGCCCCCACGTCGCCCGCCCGGTTATCAAGTCCGAATCACGAACCTCATCAACCACCCTTCTTTGTCTTTCCGTTGCCAGTCGAAAGACAATGACCTCGGATACAAAACGCTCAATTTCAGGCAATACTATCATTGGGAATTCCAAGTCAATTTTTGGGGCTCGACTCTTTTCTTCTGTCATTTCTACTGGAATGGCAAACAACAGGTTTTCGATGCTTTCAACGCGAGTCGCAGAACGTGCGATACTTACGTAGATGGTCCATATAACATGTGCAATTGGATCGTCAAAGGAGATGGCTTCTATACGGTTGGAAAGAAGAATTGGGAAGAGAAGGATTTGGTGAAGGTTTATTCTTGGCAGTGATGATTATTATTTATATGTACGTTGTTTAGTGGCATAATCTTATATATCGTTACTAGCTTTCGAGAAGGTGGCATAATAATGAATAAAGTCTTGTTTGATTTATGTTACAATGTTTAGCAAAAAAATGATATATGGTATTAAAAGAATAATACAACCAATTAAGATAACAACAATCGCCTTTTAACGGGAAAATAATAATTGTGTAGCGCATTTGACTATAGAATATAATTGGTTTTGACTGGTTTAATAATTGTTTCCCACTTTTTAAATAAAAATTAAATTCAACTTTATCTAATTTAACTCTTCTCAATGTTGTTTATATAGTTAAATGATATCAATTAATCGTTCTTACATATCGCGTTAATTTTAATAATTATATTTTAAATATTATTTAAATATAAAATTATAATTTCACTCAATCAACTTTATTTAAAATTAAATTAATTTATCAAATTAGTCAAATAAAAATCAAAACAATTTAAATCCTCTACATTTTATGTTTAGTTATTGATTGAGATTCGTGTATCATTGTGACATCACAGACAAGAAGTGTGATAAAGAGTGAAATTGGGACAAAAATTTGAAATAAAGATACCGAAATTTTTTAAGGCGTAATACGGGTTAATGTAACTTAAGTACTTCCTCAATTTGTAATTATGTTGACTTTTTCAGTAAAAAGTAAATTAGAAATTAATTTGTAAGATTCCCAACACAGAGTTCGGTAAGTTCATAGAAACTTTTCGATTTTGCTTTTTTAATTTGGAAATCTATAAAATTAAGGCAGAATCTACAGAATTTTCAAAATCGAGGAAATCGCTTTCCTATTAATGAAATTTGTGAAAATTTTATTTTTAATTATTTGCAAAACTTTGTAATATGGACTCACGGTTCTCGTTCAGTCGGTCACAAGATACATAAGGTTGATTGGTTTATAGTTAGGTCCACTGAATATTTTTAATTAGTTTATATATTGTTTATTTCTTTCTACATTATACTTATTTAGTAGTACAATGGTTCAAGTTTTAAAATATAATTTTTTTTGTACCATTATATGTGTTGATACCCGACTTGGTTGTACATGATTAGTTTGGCGCTAGAAGTACCGACTTGGTTGTACATGATTAGTTGAGAACTAATCATATTGTTTGATCTTTCGAAAAAGACTAACTTAGTCCAAGTCGGTAACAGTCGAAAAGATACCGACTTCCTCATAGCACAAGCTAGACCGATCACACTCCAAACCGACTAAGCTATAGAAGCTTACAGACCGACTTCGCCAACGACAAAATTACTTGCTATGAAGGTTATCCTTTCAACTGATATCCGAGGAGACCGAATTCTTAAGCAGCAGACGTTGTACATCTTTTATTGGACCATCAAGTCAAAGAATAATCATTGATGTTCCCTCATTACATTACACACCGCTTTATTGAAGCTGCTCAATATTTAATGCGATCTCATGATCTACCTCGTACTAAAAGAAAAAAGTAGCCGTACTATAAATAGCTGGATTTATTATTGTAGGGGGATCTTTTTCAACACATTGTACACGGACTATAAGACATCTCATTATGAACAAAAAACTGACTTCCTGTACTCTTGTGAACTTATCAATAAAATACACATTTACTTTTATTTCACATTGAACACACCTTGCTATTCGTTAATTTGAGTTGTTAATTTCAATACAACAACAATATGTAATATCCCGTTCTTTTGTTAATAAAAGTAATATTTTTAGTTCTGAGTTCGAATTATTTTTACTTTTATTAATATTGCTCGTTCTTAATATCCGAGCCAAGTTAGTAAGCCATTCAGTTATAAGTTCGATTTTAAGTCGAAAATCGATTTGGTTTAAAGTTTATTCAGTAACCGAGCAAATTTTCGATAATTAATTCCGAACCGTTTAATTTTATAAACGGACATTAATAGTCGGGATTAATTATTTTAAATCGACGAGATAATTGAAGTCGAGAATATTTTTATAAATCGTCGAGATTAAGTCGTGATTGAAAACCGAACAAGTTCAGTTCAATTAATGCCGAGTATAGCTTAAACCCTAATCGAACCTATGTAGTATTTTTTCTTAAAATTTTCATAATACTTAGTTATCAACTTAAGTCTTCAATTAGTTCTAAACCTAAGGTAGGGTTTCGGTTTAAGAAGTTCACACAATTAAATGCCGCGTACGGTTGCTCTCTCGCCAGCTCGCATTTTCCTCGCGCCATCCGTTCATTATTGTGCATAAGTGAGGTTAGTCCCAATATTAATGACCTATCTTAAGGTTAGTACGGTCAAAGTCCTTAGAGTACCAAGAATTCTTGGAATTTTTGTAAGAAATACACCTAAGACCATGACTAGGTCAACATACGGACACTTGTTTTTACCTTGAATTTTCTTAAACCATTACTCATCTCCCACTTCTTAACCATGGCTATATGAGCTAAGTACCAGGTGAAATGAAGTCTTTTACTTCAAAGACATAGCAAACACATAGAAATTAGGAGAAAAATTGAAAAAGCAACTAAGTACTTGTACGTGCGTGATTGTCACGAGAAGAAGCCATAGCATCATCTTCTTTGATCTTTTGCTTAGTGATTGAAGAGGTAAGAACCCAAATATTAGTGTGTTATATAGCTGAGTTACAAAGCTTTAATATGTGCTAGGATAAGCTGAAAGTTCAAGTTTTCAAGTGAGCATAAATTTATAATAAGTATAAGGGTTCTTCATTCATGTACATGAAGCATAGGTCCTGTTTGAGTTTGATTCTGTGCATGCTATGATCAACCTAGTAAAGTAAGCTGAACATATGTAATTCTTGTCCCTGTGCTGAGTATTTTCATAAAAGAATCATATCATTTGGATCAGTATAGCTCAAGTTATAAGTGTTTGAAGTTTAATGTGCAAAGTGATTTTCAAGTGCTTTGTTTCAGCTGCCACTTAAAATGCGAATATCTCAGTCCATCGACATGCTATTAACATGAAATTCTTATGACATGTTACAATATGAGTTAAGAGTGTGACTGTTCAATATCAATTAAAAATGATGAGAAATGAGCAAGATAAAAATGTTATACTACCAGCATATCAAGTTGATCTTTGTTGCAATAGAACTCAGCCTACACTCATGCTTTTGATGTGAAATTTTATGAGTATGTCTTGTATGAGTTTTGATCATTGTGACCAAGTTTTAGCTTCAGAAGTTAATTATGGTATTTTATAAAATTCTTAGAAGAAAGAAGGGTCAAATGTAACTGGAATTAGCTGAAATTGTAACTGGAAATACATGTCTAAATGAAGTATTTGACTGCTAATTTTTAGTAATTCTGGAGGTATGTATGATTTTATAAAATCATGAGGTTTTAAGGGGTCTATTAAGCATATCTAATTGTTTAAGTGTATTTGCTTGAACATAAGTATTTACCCTTTCATGAGCATACATTGAGTATAGTTGGCCAGAAAGTGTTGCAAGTCCGGACCAGTTCATGAGCGAACTAGCCGGTTCAGCCGGTGGTTCGAGTTTGTTTTGGTTCATGTGTTCGGTCCGAGTCGTATTCCGAAATTTTTGTAATTTTTCGAGCCAAAAATCTACTCAGATTAAGTTATAGCAGTAAGTTCCGGACTTAGTATAATATTATATCGAACCCTTAGAGCGTTCTAATTAATCCGGATGAGTTAGAAGTTAAAAACAGAGCATCTTAGCATTTTATTGAGTATTCTGAGCATAGTACTTAGTATATTAATTGCTTATATCTTTATACAGTTTGACGAGACAGTTTTCAAGTTCAGCACTGCCATTTTCATTTTCGAAAGTACAGGTGCGAGCCCAGACTGGGTATTACATTGAGTATAATATCTGATCTCATGTCCGAGGTATGTATATATATTAAGTTTATCCGCTTAGGGTGGTGGCCTCGAGTTGCCTTGAGTTTCCCCCTAAGTGTTGGTGGTGGCTGGCAGTTGCTTTAATATTCCACTAGAGTGTGCACATGGTTACCGGCTGAGTTTTCAGATTGTCGGGAGATTGAGTTACAGTACAGTTTCAGTTTCAGTTTATATATACTGATGATCATGATATTGTTATTATTGTTGCTGTTTACTTTAGTATGGGTTTCTGCGGAGCATTTTGCACTTTTGTGCTCACGCCCCACAATTATGTTTTTTTTTTTTTCAGATGTTCGGGTCGGGCCGCAGGCGTGAGTTGAGTTGTTGTGGTGGTGGTCGTGGATTTAGCTCGGCTGGCCGTTTTGTGGACTTTTGTATATACTCAGTTTGTATATATTTTTGCCACACTTTACATTTTCGCTGATGTTATTTTCAGAATCAAACTTGCATGCTAGTTTTCAGATTTTATCGGATCTCTAGACAGGTCTGGTTGAGTTACATGCTAGTTTGATTAGATTATACATATCTGTTTTCCTTATGTCTAAACCAATATTTAGACCAAGTTAAAGAAAAACAGATTTTCAGAGTAGATAAGTTTAGTAGCATCCCGAATTAAGTTAAATAATTTCAAAAAATTTATATGTATTTTCGAAATAAAGTTACAAAAATTTTACTCTGATACTAGTAAGTTAGCATGGTGTTACATTATATCACAATTTTTTCAGTGTGAAAATTCACATTTATGATTAATTAACACTTAATTAATTTATTTACTACTATTATATTATTTTTCTAATCAGAAAGAGAAAATATGATCTTCTAACACGACGATGACTTCATATGTGTAATATTAAAATACTACAAACATTCAATTGGAATATTAATGTGAATGAATAATTTTAAATATTGAGATTCATGGTGGAACACGTAACATTAGAAATTTTTACCGTCCTATTTTAAACATATTTACATTTTTAAATAAATTTATTGATACGTAAATGAATATTTACATTCTTAAACATATTTATTAATACGTATATATATTTCCAAGAAAATCGACACATAAATAGTTCCAAAGAAAAAAAATGGACACTAGGAAAAAAAATTAAAGTGCACCAAGAGGTAAAAAAAAAAATAGGACAATATTTAGACATATAATTTTAAAAAATAAGTTTCTCGCAAAAGGAAAAAAACACCAGTCTTAAATGTCGTTTAAAATTTTTTCGTTGTAATTAAGTCAAACTATTTAAACAAAAATTCTGCTTTCTACTTTTTTATTAAATATCAACCTCCTTCAATGTATACAGATTAATACATTCAATTTGTACAAAATTACTAGTATAAGTACCCCCATATTGAGTTGTCAATGAAAATCATCACCTTCACATCAATATTTCTCTTAATATGGGAATCACTCTTGCCAAAATCCTCCTCATCTCCTACTTTTGTCTTGTCTTGCTACTTCATTCCTCCTACGCTCCGCCGTTTCCCGGTCAAGGCGAACCGGAGCCATTCCACCCATCCAGCTATCAAGTCTGGATCACGGACCTTATCCAACGCCCTTCTTTGACTTTCCGTTGCCAGTCAAAGGACAATGACCTCGGATACCACACGCTCAATTTCAGGCAAAAATACCATTGGGAATTCAAACTCAATTTCTGGGGCTCGACTCTTTTCTTTTGCCATTTCTACTGGAACGGCAAACAACAGGTTTTCGATGTCTTCAATGGCCGTAAAGATCATTTTACCGTGATCAATTGGGTGGTAAAAGAAGATGGCTTCTATAAGGTGGTTGGAAAAGTGAATTGGGAGGACAAAGATTTGGTGAAGGCTTATTCTTGGAGTTAGATTGATCATTTTCACATAATATATGTTTAATTCGTGGCATTGTATGTATATTCTTTCTAGCTTTCGAGCAAGCAATGAGAGAGCCATATTCAAGTATTTATATTACCTGGGTTTACTTAACATACCGCGTGTGGATGGACGGAAAAACATATATAAATAACATGAATCACGGTTTATCATAGGTTATAACATGTTATCATATTTTTCACATAAATAATGGTCACCGGCCTAGCATGCAACCCAAGATATATTATATTGTTGGAGTAATTTACAAATGACCTTATAAAAGTGACTCTCTCTCACACACACATACACACACACACACACACACACACATATATATATATATATATATATATATATATATATAACCTACTATAAATGATTATAATTAATATTATATTGTTAAACAGTTCTTTGTAATTCAATTATTTGAATATTTTACGAAAATCATTATAATAATAAAATAATATTTTTCTCATGATTTTAAATAAAGTTGATGAATTTAACGGTGATATCGTTTATATGATAACAAGATTTTGTTAATTAATAGATTGTGAAAAATCAAATAAACTATAGAGAAAATATAAATATTATATAAAAAATAATGATAAAACGAAAAAAAGGTCAAAACTTACGGTTACAGTATTTCCATTTTTAATAACCAAAATTTGTTAAAGGAACCATATAATTCATTCAATAGAATGAAACATATTGTTTGTTTGATTTCTCTTAAATGAGTTTTACATCTTCTGTACAGTTTGCATTTGGGCCTGTGTTGGATAATGTAGTGTTGGATGATATTAGGATTTTGAGTAGGTCTTTTGGTTCGTGCTTATTTAAAAGTTTTCTTCTTCTTTCGTCTCTAGCTGCTCCCTAGCCAAGATGGCTTTCGAGGGGGAACATTGATTTGCTTCCCCGCCTATTGTACTATAACCCCGTTGGTTATCTTGTTGTACTCTTGTTGAGCTATAATATTTTCTTTTCGTTGGGTAAAAAAAAAAGAATGAAATATAAACTGAAACATAATTTTAATTTTAAAATAGAAAATCTAATTCACCTTCAACTGAAAAATTTTGGGGCAGTGGAATTTTTCGTTCGGGTTAATGTAAGTCAGTAATTCTTGTCTTCGTTTTTTTAAGCAAAATGTAAATTGGAAATCAATCTGTAAGATTTTCAAGACGGAAAATGGTAAGTTGATAGAAACTTTCTGATTTTGTGTTTTTCATTTGGAAATCCATAAAATTAGGATGTTTAGGATTTATTTTTTTTCTTTTACGTTTTTGGACAATCGAATAGCAACCAAAGCTCCGAATAGCTTTCCTTAGAGAACGACCCGAGTCGGGTAACTCGGTTACCACATACCCACAATTCTCTACTAAACACCCAGATGTCCACCAACGCGGCCCAGCGGACAACAATTCAGCCGGCCCAGATCGAGCCAGAACCGGTCCAGGTCGCTCTAGGTGGTCCAGGGGCTGTCCAACTGCAGTCCGGTGGGTTCGGGTTGATACGGTGAGTTCGGGACAAGTCCGAGAAGGTCCAACATGATTAGGAACGACCCGATGAGTCCAGAAAAATTTAAAAAGGTACGCTTTGAACCCCCACTTCTAGTTCCACTGCGCTTAGGTTTTAATTCGTAGATAATCCGTGACTTCCATATTATCGTGATCCTCACAGATCCCAACATTACCATCTTATAATATAATATTTTTTCAAAAATTATATTATTTAACAACTTTATAATTAAATCGATTTAAATAATTTTATTTTTTAATTAATATTAATAGGTATTTGTTTTTGATTATAAAGATAAATATAATTATTTATTTATTTTGTATATCAATATAGATGTCAAACCGAAGTTAATAAAGGCGTGATTAATTTGATATACTGTGGATAAAAAATTAGTAATAAATAAAAAAATAGTAACTTTTAAATATACTTATAATTTAAGTTATTTTTTTTTATTTGGGTAGTAGTATACAGGTTTTGAATTAAGAAGCATATGTCAAATGTATTAAAACTTTTATTTTAAAAATATTCTTTAAAACTAAAATAATTTACTCGTGTATTACAGGTATTGAATTAAGAAGCATATGTTTTTTTTTTCCGAAACGATAGAGATATTATATATCAAAACGCACAACTGTGCAAAAAAGCAGCCCATGGTTGAATATTACAACCAGGAACTAAAAACTGGGAGGACGGATCGAACCCGCCTAGAGCCTCGCTAGCCACACTAGAAAAGAAACACACAACACACAACTAAAAACACAACATTCCAACTACGAACGCTCCCCACAGGATAATAGAAACGCCCCCCCACAGGGGAATCAGTAACCAGAACCGGGACCAACGGTCCAAACCTAAAACACAAGACCAAAAATAAACAACACAGACTCAAACAACACAAAACGACAAAAAAGAAAAACTAAGTAAACACAGAAGGCCCTTCCTCAGCAATCGATCAGACTCAGCCAGCAGTGAACAATCGATATAAGAAGGATACCAAGCCTGAAGAAACACTACCGAAACTGCCAAATGCCTATACAGTAGCCAACATCAAGCCCCGTACCAATCCCCGAATCAACCCATCACCGACCGAAAGGAAGACGAACCGCCCCCCACACCAACCCCGGCTCAAAACCGTCTAACACCACTAGACAAGCTCGAAAGAACCGGGACCCCCGTCGCCTAACACCACTAGCCGAAAGGGGAATGGTGAGGATGACTCGGTTCCTCAACCCCGCCGCCGCAACCGGAACAGCCACAGCTTCCAGGGTCCCACCCAGACCCCTGGCTCACTCGCCTCCCCTCCACTGCAAACCGCCACAACCAAATCCCGAACCCACCAGAAGCCTCGCCGAGAACTGCGAGGCCGACCAGGGGAACCTCCGACAAACCAGCAAGAAGAAAAAAAGCAGAGGCCACTAACCTCCAATTGAAGACAGCCGACGACCGAGGAAGACCAACCGACCCAAACCGGAGGAGCACCACCACCCGACACATACTCGTTGGCGACAGAGGGGAGGTCTCCAATCGCGACCCCTGCAGGGACCCCGAAGATTCGCGAACCAAGGGCCAGGCCGAGCGGTCAGAGAGGACCACTGGCCGGTGACTAATCGTCACCAAGGAAGGCTAGCGCCGGAAGAAAAGAGATGGAAGAGGACTGTGCGATTTGGCGATTTGGGGGTTAGGTTACGGAAGAGAGAATGATGCATTTTCATTATTATCAATTCATCTCTCTTCTTCAACTAATTACAATTATACACATCACAAATGATATCACAATTAATATTAACCATTAGAGACACAATATTTTAATTTTCTTTCACCATGTCATATAACAAAAAATGGACAATGTTCCATTAGATATGATCTTAAATGATATTTATTGCGAAACCTAGGACGTTTGCCATTCCAAAGAGCTTAGAGCCTCTTGATCTAACCCACCTTGTGTTAAATATTTGACTTCACTTATATATCTCTCAACATCGTTTTATCCATATATATATATTAATTATTCAATTTATACTACTTGTAGTTATAAAAACTTACATTATTTATTTATTAAATCCCCTCTATGTATAATTTCAGAATGCATTGAGCATACGTGGCAAACTCTCATGCTTTGGAATCCTATTTGGCAAAAAATCATGCTTTGGAGTTAGACTTTGATATAAATTAATATTTTTTATCACACTAAATCCATGATTGATTTTTTTCCTTCTGTACTTCTACAATTAGTTACCGTAAACTATTTTATGTTTTATTTTCCTATATTACCATACATCACATTTCATTTTCTTATATAATTTATTCATTAGTTTTTATAAATGTTTCTTTTTCTTATTTTAAGAGTTATAATGTTTTTGTTTGTATTTTATTTTTCATATATGATATATCAAATTAACTATCTTTTAACGATCCTCGATTTGACATCCATATTATATATATAATATCTTAAACAGTAATATATATCCTTATAAATAAAATTTAAATTTATTTATCAAATTAAATTAAATTATATGAAATAAAAATATAAATTATATTATAAAGTAATAGAGATTGGTATGTATTCTTTTAAAAATGATATTTATTTCAATTCTAATTGGTATGTTGTCAATCTAATAACAATAAATAATTATTTATCTAAATTCTAAAATTACATATAAAGTTAAAAAACTGTGAAGCACGACTGATACGACACTTGATGTATTATGAATCTAATTAAGTAAAAAATGCATCTATTTTGCTTAATATTAAATAAACATATTCTACACTTATGCATATACATATCACCATATTATTTCTATTTATTTAAGATATATATTTTGTACATATGTAATACTAAATAATATTGATATTTTTAAATGATATAAGTAAAAAAAAAATCAACACGGGTTGACATTTTCATTTAATGTACGTGTGTTTAATTATTATGATTAAAAAAATATAAATTGATAATTTAATTGAAAAAGTAATGTTTTATATAAAATTAAATTATTTTAGGTTTTAAAAAAATAAAAAATTTAATATTTTTACAAAAGCTTTCTAATTCAACACTCGTGTGATACACGGGAATTGTATTAGTATGTATTAATTACAAAATAAAAATGAGTAGAACTAAATAAATAAATAATAATATTATATTATTTAATTACATTATTTATTCAAACTTTTATTATCATTAATGTTGATTTTTATACTAATTTACCTTATTAAATTTTAATTAATTTTTTATATATTAAATAAATATTTACTAAATAAATTCTAGGTTCTAGGTTATTGTTGTGAGTATCATGGGGATTCGCTTTAGTCCTCGGGAAGGTGATTGTATTGAAATTCTGCAGGGGTTCATAACAGGTAATTCTCTTCCCTCCCACGGCTTCATCTCCATAGCCGACCTCTACGGCCAAAAGGAGCCTTGGGAGCTGTTCGAAGATTCCCAGGTAAAAGACGGCCGTGGCTGTCGTTATTTCTTCACCAAACTCAAGAAAGTCGGCGCCAAGAAGGGAAGGAGTTACCAGCGCTACTCGAGGAACGTTGGGGCCGGCGGGAATTGGTCGAACAAAGGGCAGAAATCCGACATCATCGGCCCCAAGGGCAACATCATCGGCCACGCTCGAACTTTCCGCTACCAGGCGAGAAACTCGGACGACGTGGGGCCCACGCGCGGCGAGTGGGCCCTGAAGGAGTACTCCCTTCCGGAATCCACATCTCTCAGGGTTGACGAGGACAGGCGGGACTACGTTCTGTGCGTACTCAAGAAGAAGAAGGAGAAGACCACAACAACTACAACGTCAGGACGTGGTGTTGTCCAAGCTGTCGAAGCAGATCTGGGCTACCTAATGGCCACGCTGGCACCCACGTCAACGGTCAAGGGTCATGTGGGGTCGCTTGACTATCCAGCGACAGGTGGCGAAGATTACTGTTGTGATGAGCAGGGCATGGGGGTGACAGGTGGGCAAGTGGTGTGGCCGTCGGATATCGAGAGGTGGCTGAATGATGATGAGGTTTTGGAGGGCGATTCTAATTTTGAGTTGAAGGACGTGGATAATTGGTTGCATGCGAATGGGTTCCATTGGTCGAGTGATTTGCCCATAATTGCTAGCTAGCTAGATGATATATATATATCCGGGACAATACCGTTTGATATATAGTCTTATTGTATTTTTCGATTATTGGGGTACTCTTTTTCCCGATTGGAGGTTTTTCCCACACGGGTTTTACTTTGGTCGGGTTTTAACGAGGCCCCACTTTGCGCCATCTGGCCGGCGAGTTGTGGCCAGACCCTTGTAAAAAAAGCAAGGGGGAATGAATATATATGTATTCTTAGTTGTTCATAATAGTAGAAAAGTGAATTCAATTTTTATTTTATTTTAATTTTTCTTTTAATGTTCTTTGAGCTAACTACACAATCAAATTCTTCTTGGTGTTCATTGATCAACATATCAGAACATATCTATGCACTGTTACATACCAGATCGACGTCGTAAGGTTTACTCGATTTTGAGTATCAATTCACCTAATCGCAACAGATATATATAAGACGGTGAATGTTTAGCGACAATCGAACCCAGTTCAAAAGACCAGAAAATTAGAAAAAAAAAAAGGCTACTTATATCACCTAATCGCCCCAATGGAAGCGAATGCTCACTTTATACCTATCGGGTCTCCAAAAGCATCCCGACACTGGGTTTCGATTCCTCGAGAACACTCCATGCAAACGTATTTCAGTTAGCAAAACAGTATCTTTATCACTTGCACTAGTCTCCTCATCAGAATATTGTCAATACAGTGATATTATGAGAAGACGGATCCACAGGGGAAGGGAATTTGATGATCGATCTCATTGATGGTTTGGAATATTTTTTTACCTTAATAAATATTGAAGTTGAATTCAATAAAAATATATAGTCATATGTTATTTGCAGTTTGCATCCTTCAAACAATATTTTTCCTTTAGTGAATAGAAATTTAGCTCATTCATAGGTTGAGTAACAAAGATGGAATTATGGCATTTCCAACTGAAGGAAATCATAGAGATACAACTCTTTTGTCAAAACATAATATTCAACCCCAAAAAATGTTTCCAAAATGATAATCACATTAATGGTAACAGTTTCAATTCAACAGAACACATCCATCTATTATTACCTCTTATGAAATGTGCTCATCTCCAAAGGTGCTAATGGTACGTACAATACAAATCTCAGGGTGAAAACCCAGCATAACTTTCGTGATCAAAAGTCGAAAGAATCAACTCTATCTATTATATATTACTACAGATTGTACATACTTCAGATACTTGTCCCTCTACACTAAAAACAGCTAAAAAGCTACCGAGAACCCTTCAAAGTTGTTCCCCATCATCTCGATTTATGCTCACTTTCTCCAATTTGATGTCTGCTTCTTTAGCTCCGCCAAAAACATCTGAAGGGATGTTGATGCCTGTAAAACCAACCATTATGGCAGCACCTCCAATATAATCCAAAGCACCAGGCGCATTTCCAGTCAATTTATCAACAATGGCTGCCAATGGCACTTGAATCGAGAGACCTGCTGTGGCCACAGTGGTTGACGTCAGTAAAACGGCCTTGGCCCACAAATAGTCGCTCAATACATTATCCAGTAAACCTGCAAGAAATTCAAAATGAATATGAGCAATAATCATTAACAAACTTCTTCAATGAATTAACTAACATGAAGCTTCTTATCATACCTTTACCAACAATCAGACCAAACTGCTTCCTGCTAAGAGCACTAAAACGCTCGAGCTCGAAGAGGTCAAGTACGAGAGCAACAGGAAAAAACAACACAAGGTTGAAAAGGCCCAAGAACCCGAGAAACTGGCCCATACTAGCATGGCCCTGTTCTTCGTTGTCTTCATCCGGTAACTCGTGCCGAATTAGGGTAATGTATGCAGCATAAAACATCGAAGATAAAAGGGCCATAAAATCCCCAAGAGCAGGGTTTGAGGCAACTGCACTGGCACCAGTGCCTGAGTCGCCAAGGCTAACAATTATTGTCCCTCCCATGCAGAGCAGCACACTGACTAGCTTAAACCAAGTGAATTTCTCCCCCAAAAATACTAGAGCGACTAGAAACGTGAACAAACTTGACGAGCTGCTTAAGATGGTATTTGACTACACAAATCAGTAGAGAGATTTATTGTTAATTACATGAAGAATATATATTTGTTTTTTTCAACAAAAAAAAAAAAAAACTTGAAAATATGTATCCTAAACTTCCATTGTTTTTACACTCTGCAACCCAAATTTGATTCTTGTTACTTACTATCATTATCATTATTATCAACTACTATCCCAGGTAAGTGACTTTCTTGATTACAAGTTTTCCAGGAACATTCATTGGTACATTCTTAAAAGGACTCCCAACTGTCTAGTATATAAAACAGATTGTGGTCAGATTCTTACAGTGACTGTAGTGTACTTGAGAGAGAGGTTAAACGTGAGCTGGGCAAAGAACCACATAGGACAAATCAACAGGCTGACTTTTGCAATCCTCCAACGTGTCCAACGACCTTTTGCATCCAGCCCTAAACAGCCACCACCATTCTCAACAACCAAATGTGGTCCTATAACACCTCCTTCATGGGCATCATTATCGCCATGTTCTTCTTCTGCTCCAATCACATCCAAATTCAATACATCAGTTTTTGCACTGGCCTCTCCATTCTCGAGAAGAATCTCCTTCTCAAGAGCCCTCGATTCTTGCAAAGAGGCATCTTTTGTATTCCGCCAGAACAAAAGGCTACCGTACTTATCCTCCAGAAAGCGCCCCAGTTCGACTAATGGTATATACACGATAAACAGCGAATTGCAAATGTACGTTACTAGAAATGGGGAAACCCCCTCGTCTACAACCGACTGCACCACAAAACTGGCGGCAATCCAAATTGTGGCCACCGCAAATATATAACCCAGCCCTAAACCCCATCTCCACAATTGATTTGTCATCAGCCACTGTGTATAAACAGGATTTAAACCTCGATATCTCTCTCTCTCCCTGTGCAATGAAATTATTCAAAGACTACGACAAAACAATAGCAAGAGAAAATCCTAATTGAGACCATGAAAAAAAAAGACAAAATAAACTCAGAACACGTCCAAAAAAGATATAAACCACCGGATCAAGATTTGATACCCAAAAAAACCAGAATGATAATGTCCACATATAACGATCTAATATATCAAAGGGGAAACACAATCGTGCCAGTAACCATAATACGCGTCCACGGATAGAATAGGAGACATATTATCGAAAAAAAAGTGTGTGAATAAACAAAAGTCAGACGCAAAACAGCGTACCAGTTGAAGGGTGCTGATGAGAAGGAAAAGATCTTGGAAATTGCTGTTGGGAGATCCTATAGCGGGTTTCTCGGGCCTTTTGTTGTCGTCCGGTTGACATCCGGGTAAACGGGTCGTGTCGACCAATTTGCTTTGAATAGCGCAGGCCGATTCTGTTCCAGCTGGAGACGACGGACCAGCCGGCTAGGGCGCCGTTCGAGTCGGAGGAGATGGCGGTGGGAAGGGCGGAGATTGTCGGGTAGGAAGCAATTTTGATTCCTTTTTGCGGCAAAGTTAGAGATCTGAATTTTCCGAATGTTGAACCTGCTGAACTCTGTTCAACTCTTTTGCCTGGTGAGCGACCGATCTCCGTATTTTGCAGCAATTTTCGATTGGTTTTGTGCATTCTCGAGTTAGCCGGCGGTTGCTTGTGCTTTTGCCGTGGGGAAAAAATCAACGTTATATTAATTTCTAATGATTGATAATGATGTTTTAATTTAAGTTAAAATGTTATGGTCCGTTACGGAATCATTTCGTCGATTGTTTTAACCGTCTGAGCTCTAGCGAACCTTCGCGAACAATAGTTTGTTTGTGTTCGACCAAACCTCGTTCGTTTGTTAATCGAGCCGAGTTCGAACAGAAAATTAGGGTCGTTTAATAATCGGACAAACACGAGCTCGTTCGCGAACATTCGATAATGTTCGCGAATATTGATTTAATATAATTTTATTTTATTTTTTTATATATTTACATATATTTTTAATAAAAATCTAAAATATAAAATATTTTTATTTTATTTTTTTATTTTCAAGTTCGAAAAAACAAATTTCGAGTTAATCAAACATATTTAAAAAGTTTATGTATTAAATTATTCGAACACGAACGAACTCGAACTTTGACGAACAATTAAACAAACGAGCTCGAACATAATATTTTGCTCGAAAAATAAACGAACAAACACGAACATTGTTCGAACATAAACAAACACGAGCTCGAACAGTCCAAGCTCGGTTCGGTTCGGTTCGGTTCTATTCGTTTACAACACTATTTAACCCTTAGATCATCCATCTTATACTAACTAAATGAGTATCCAAACGGTTAAACATCCAGACGGGATGATTCCGTAACGGGACCGTAGCATTTTAAACTAAAAGAAGCATATATAAAAGAATATTAAAGATTTTCTTTTAAACTAAAATAATTTGTATTTTAACTAAATTTTCAAACTAAATTATTTACTTATAATAGTTAAACACTCGCGTATAATTTTAGAAATTTGATGTCAAACTATATTTTTCTTTTTAACTTTACATGTAATTTTAGAATTTAGATAATTATTTATTTATTTTTATTATATTGATGGCATACCAATTAAATTTTAAACAAATATTATTTTTAAAAGAATAATATCATGTATTACTTCATCTTCGAAATGAGTCATATATGAATATGAGAGAAATCTTGGGACATAAATTAACACAATTGATTTAAGTGAAGATATATAATAGAAAACAAAATAAAATAAAAGAGAAAGTATTATAGTAACTATGGAAGAAAAATATGGAATGAAATAAATCATGATAATTTTAATAAAAGAAAATATTTAATGTATTATGGAAAGAATCGTGTCTAATGAAAATTTGACATGGATCCCGAACCTAATTATGAATCAATCAAAAGCATGGAAGTATGAAAAAGAGGATCCGAAAGCATGCGAGGCTGCCAGTGAAGCTCAGCATATTCGGGAATTATATATTGGGAGCATTCTACATTAAAGCATGTTTGCTGATTGATACTAATTTCAATCATAGTTCTATGTTTTTTAGATATTTAAAATTTGTCTAACGCTCTAACTATTTAAAAATAAGTCTGACATTTCAGGTATTTATAATTCCAGTTCAACATCTTGAAATTTTATAAAAATAAGGTTTTTGGTTGAGAAAAATATTTTAGTTAAAATTTTATAGCACATTGCATAATTATTTTGTTGATGAAAATCTATCAAAAGTCCCTTTCAAAAAAATATCAAAGTTAAAATATGTGATTACACTAATGAAATTAATAAAATAGTAAACATCGAAAAGCCTTATAGGTAAATTATTAAATCAAATTACAATAAAGAGGACGAAAGTTAATGTGCTGAATTATAAAACTTTTAAAAAATTTGAGTTAGGAATGTTATATCCATTGTTTTCAACCCGGACCCGCCCGATGAGTTGACCCGGGACCCGGCCGACCCAGAGTCGGAACCAGTCTTGGTGGGCTATTTGGACTGGGTAACAATGGAACCGGTTAAAACCCGGCCAACCCGGCCTTGACCCGGTCGGGTCAACCCGGTTGACCCAGTCCCTATATATTTTTTTATTTTTTTAAATATTTTTTTATATAAAAATAAAAACTATGTAAATATATTGATATAGTAAATATTTATTGTGAGATATAATTCTCTTAACACTTTGATGTACAAATATTATATACAAAACATTTATTTTTGTTACTTTTATGTATATTATATGTCAAAAATACTATATATATATATATATATATAGTTTTAAAAATTTTAAAATTAAGTATCCGGTTCAGCAATTGATCCGGTGAGCCGGCAATTGAACCGGTGACTTGGAGACCTGACCGGGTCAATTTTTGGGCCGGGTTTAAAAATTATGGTTATATCTTATATTAAGTAAAAAATATTATATAGTAAATAAAATTAAGTTAGCATATCGTCTCTCCCAAAAACCCTTTTCTCCGAATCCCCGAATCCCGTCTCTCCCGATCCGTCTATTTTCGGCGCCTTCCCTAGTGGGGCTCACCAGGCGTTTTGTGGTGACGCTCCTGGGCCGCGCGGCCCGCTTTCGGGAGTTTCGCCGTGTGGAGGGGTTCATGTTCACCGAGGAGAAGGTTGTGCTCAACCCACGTCTGGGTTTCGCCGTTTTTCTGGTGCTCCGTCTGGCGGGCGGCCGTTTATCTGAATTCTTCGCTGTGGCGGTCCTTCAGCGTCCCCCGGGCATGGGCTGCGACTCCAATTTTCCCATTGGTGAGATTTGGGGTGGAGATTTCGCCCCTGCCCACCGTGTCTTCTTCGATTCTGATGCTGGGCGAAGGGGACATATGACGATGATGGCCGAGGTCCAGGTCTCTGATTTAGGGGCTTCGATCGGTGTTGTCGGCGGGGTGGTTTTGGGGGTGTTTGTCTTGGCATGGATGGTGTTATCCGTTCGGATAGGGGTTGGGTCCCTTGGTGTTGACCCAGTTAGGTGTTCTCTTGCAACTCTAGGTTGGGTCCTGGGTTGTTACTCTGTCACCGTTTCGTTTGGTGAACCTTCATGTTGTGGGAAGGGTTGTAGTAGTTTAAGAGTGCGTTTGGTGTATTCTCCACTCGCGGAGCTTTTGCTTGTCCCCTTTTGGGAGTTTTCTTGTGTTTTGTGTTGTATTTCTTTTATTATTATTTTTTTATTTTTTAAAGAGGATCAATAGTGTTCTCACTTTCTCTCCTCGGTGACTTGAACCCATGACCTATCGGTCATAGGTGAAACGTCTTACCACTCAAGTTGGGCTTCGTTGTCTACCTTCGGTGTAGTTCTCCCAACTAAATTCAGCAGGTCAGCTCTGTGGTTGTTCTGTAGTGTTGTTGTTTTGTGAATATATGTGACTCTTATCGTCTCGGAAAAAAAGTATGTAACAAGTTTTACAATAAATGTTATGCAGAATATTTTACATTTTTANATTAATTAAATATTAAAAAATGTTAATTATTTTATGTAAATTAATTATATAATAAAAAATGAATAAATTAAAGTTGACCAGCTGCCGGCCGTTGGCCGCTGTTGACCGGCGTCGACCAATCCGACGTGAACAGTAAATCGCCATCCCTCCCCAACGTCATCCCCATAGCGCCGGAGCCAGAACCCTCGCGGCCGGAACCCCCATCTGCGGCCGCTGGAAATTCCCCCAAATCAACCGGCGAGTTCCCCCTCTAGCAGCCTCAGAAATTCCGCCCAATTCAGCCTGCGAGTTCCCCTTCCGGCAGCCTCAGAAATTTCACCCAAATCTACCAAGAGGAAGCATGGGTAGCACTGAATATTATGGAACAAAACTTAATTGAACTACCCGACCTTGATCTGCAGCTTCAATCATGTCGCCCGGAAATAGTTGGTTAGTCGAGGAAGGAGAAATTGTAGAGGATTCGTGGGATGTTCTTGCCGACTGTCGGATGGGATGTGCTATTATTCGTGGAATATCGGCGTGGAACGACGCAGCTGCCGTGGCGTCCCGTGCCGAGGCGCAGCTGCCGTTGCGAAATCAGAATTTGGATTTGGGGATTGGGCTTTGTTTTGTAAATTAGATAAATTGCAGGGACCCATTTGCAAATTCAAACACTTATGAGTTATTGCAATTAAATTCTTGGTTTCAATCTGTAATTTATTGATAGTTTGAATAATTATAATATGGCCCCTGAGTTATTATATTATGAAATTAATACACGTTTAGTTTATTTCTTGTGCATATTTAGATAACACACAATGCATATGCATATTTAGTTCAACCATAATGCATATTTGTTTTATTTAAATTAAATATATGCATAATGCATATTCAGTTCATTCATTATGCATATTTAGGTAATAAAGAATGCATATTTAGTTCATCATACTTCATATTTGTTATATTTAAATTAAATATATGCATAATGCATATTTAGGCTATTCATTATGAATATTTAGTTCATGCGTAATGCTTATTTAGTTCATCCATAGTGTGTATTTGTTATATTTAAATTAAATATATGCATAATGTATATTCAGTTCATTCATTATTTATATTTTAGTAATAAGAAATGCATATTTAGTTTATCCATAGTGCATACTTTTTATATTTAAATTAAATATATACGTAATTCATATTTGGTTCATTTATTATGCATATTTAGTTCATACAAAATGCATATTGAATTCATACGAAATGCATATTTAGTTCTTTCTAAATGCATATTTAGTTCATCCATAGTACGCGCATCTAACTAAATACTAATGTAGAGCATATCCATTAACAAATTGTTGAATTATTGATAATGTGTATCGAATTCTTTGCAGCTACGCAATCGGTTGAATACATCATTGTTTGATTTGACCGATTTTGTTTTCGTACAAACTGACAACGTGACTTGAGTGATTGTATTGTTGCACCAATTGACGATTGTGACACGACTGATTATATTGACGCGCCAAGTGGAAACTATTAGAAACTAAATTCACTACTTCATATAGTCAATTGTGTTACGAGTTTGACTTTGTGGGACAGTTAGACCGAGTCCTGAATCGAACAACGTGGCTAGGATTCTTGGTTAGACTACCGTTGTTTCCTATTCCACACCCGAGGATGGAGTTGTCCAATGTGAATGAGTCATAGAACTGGGTATAGTCGTGATTATGACATTCTCCCGGCAAAAGCACACAATTGGAGAGATGTCGAGCACATATCAGTTATAAGGCTGTCTTGGGATTAGCAGTCCATACTGGTGATTCGACTCAATACTGAAGCTTCGACTAATGACTTGAGCGACGACTCAAATATTGGAGCAACAACTCAATACTAAAGCTTCGTCTCATACTGAGGCCTACGCCTACAATGTTGGGAGTTATTGAAAGATTCTAGGAACCAAATCAAATCGATTAATTCCGAAGCTAGACCGTTCTGCTTGTGTCAATATTAATATGGGATTTATCCTCAACTTCCCTATCAATACACAGAGATTGGAACTATTACTCCGTTTCCATACAAATACTTGTAAATTTTACCTGACTTGACATTAATCTAAAGATTTCATAGATAATTCTTTCAAAATAATAACATTTATAGCGATATGACAAATACAAAAATTCTTTAAGCATGCATCAATGATTTTATCAAACTCAAGTCACAACTTTTACACTGTCACCCGCTAAGGATTTAGTCTCACCCCACATGTTATTCTATTTTCAAACTTCCTCCCTCTATCTAAGATGAAGAGTGATCCAAAAAACACGGAGCTGACATCGACATCGAGTGAGACAAGACCACTCCATAAAGTGACAACTCATAATAATTAATATTGTTGTTCTGAATATAGTTAGTTATTTTCGTTCAACATGGTGTTTTATTTGTACTTAAAAATTTCCTATGCCATTTTTACATTATAAATTTTCTTTGAAAAAAATATATGATTAGAAATTTGAATTTTTAGATTTAATTTCACCAGGCTAAGTTTTGATATCCAATTCCATTCGAATTTATTTATTTTCCTCCGTATTAATTTTTATTTGAAGTATCAGACTTTTGAATGTCATGCTTTTTTTTTTAAATTCTTATCGTAGAGATTATACCCAAGGCTAGGAGATTGACTCTAAACTTGGGGAAGTGAATGATACAGCCCAGAAATAAGATTGGAGTAACTGAAATTCCTAGAAATATCATAACTGGAGGTGAGATTTGGTACAAGGTTATAAAAAGTTCAATCAAATCCAAGTGCTAAATAACTGGAATACGTCACGACTTTTTAATACTTTTGAAATTGTTTTGTTAAGACTTTTAAGCTTTCAAACGAATATACCATGATTCTTGAAATCTCAAGAAGTCTTAACAATCCAGAATAAATACACCCCCCCTGTAAAATGCCACTCAAAGTCTCAAATGAATCAACTATCCCTAGATGATATATCATGTGTATAAGTACTTTAAATTTATTTTAAAACTATGAAGTTTATTAGATTTATTAAATATCTAATATTTAATCAAAATTGTTTAAAGTATTCCCAATATTCCAGATCACGAAGAAAATCACATTTACATGTAATGAGATTTTCAAATTTCTAAAAGTACATGAGATTTTTGGTATTTTGAGATGGTAATGTAATTTGCATTACAAGAATCAAGCCACAACTCCACTATATAACGAAGAAGATGGGGAGCAAATAATAGGAAATATAACTTATACAAAAAACAAGTTGAGCAAGAAGAAAACAAAAAATAAAATACAATAATTAAGGCATTAGCAATGGTTTTCACTTCAAACATCCATTTTGTTTTGATTATATCATGTGTTTTCTTATCAATGATCGGAGTTTCACTTGTAAGTGAAAACCTCACAATTGTGTTATTTTTAATGATATTATTCTTACATTGTTTTAAAATTCATGAATATATATGTGTAAAAGCACACACACAAGCATAGAAATATTAATGATTTGACTTATATGTCATAGTACATATTAATATAAAATATGATTTCAGAAGGACTTCTTTTTCATTATGTATTTTATATTTTACCCATATAAAACCATTTATTTGACACACTTTTTAGTAAGAACTATTCAATTTTCTTTATATATTTGTGATGAGTAAACAGGCTGGTGACAAAGCATTAAGCCCAATTTCCCTTGCCCTACTTGATCCAACAGCAAGCGAGACTGTCACTTGTCCAGTCCCTAAAGAACGTGAGTTCATTTCTACAAATTTTATTTATTTTAATTTCATGTCAAAGATTAATTATATTGTAGAAAATTAATATATCAATCATCTATTTCTCTAAGTTATTATGTTAAGTAGTCATTATTATATTTTTTTTATTGATTTGATATCCAAGCATGTGAATGGGTGGTTTGTGAAAACCTCCAAATTGGGTCTTAAAACATTTCACTATGAACAAACATTTTCTTTCTTTCCTAATTGTATAGGTTGTGGGAGTGAATGTGAGCGTCGATGCTCCGCAACATCACATAAAAAGCCATGCTTGTTCTACTGCAACAAATGTTGCAAGGTATGCTTGTGCGTACCCCCTGGAACTTATGGAAATAAAGAGTGCTGCCCTTGCTACTTAAACTGGAAGACCAAGAGAGGAGGACCAAAATGCCCTTGAAAAATTATGGAGTATAATATATTTATAATTTCCTGCTTCTCATGGATCCGAAATTTTATAAGTCGTAAGTTTTGTTTGGATTTCGTTAATGAGAAAACAATAAAAGTGGCAAAATAAAATCTTTAGTTATACATATCGTTTTGCGCGGTAACTATTATTAGATAATACTTATTGTCTCATTCTAATTATTTTTATTGGTTGCTTCATTGTGAAGTTTGAACTATAATAGCATAGATAATCAAAGATCATGTATAAAGTGAGAATTAATGAATAATTGTGAGAGAGACAATTGCGAAAGGAAAAAGTTACATAAAAGTTACACATATTGATAAAACTCTTCATTAATTAAATGCATAATGGATATGCTTTGCTTTACTATAAGGGTAAATAATAATTTGTATCATCTATTGTGCGTGGTTTTTGGATTTGCAAGCTACACAATTTTTTAGAGTAAGTTGTAACCCTGCACTACATATAAAAACATATATTACAACCTCTCATCGCTAGTCTCTAAAACTATCAGGAGAGTAGGCTCACGTGATAAACACATGCCATCTGAAAGGAAAAATTGGGCTCCAAATCTAAAAATCCCACATGATAATTTTTATAAAGTGGGAAGTTATAATTAATATATTGAAGAGAAAGATGAAAAATTAATTTCACTAAAAAGATAAAATTAATCATGCTTGTTTAATCATGGGTGAGACCATATTTGAATTGCAAAATTTTCAGAAACATCGACGCGTCAAATTCATCGAATCACCATGATTGCTGGTTGAAACCGCCTCGTCCTGATCGTCTCGTCTTGTGAATCAACCTGCAAAAGCGGAAAACTTATATCTCAAACGTACTATAATTAAGAGATTTAATGAAAGCTTAGGATCAGAAATTGAACCTGGATCCTTTATTTATAAGACACTTAATGACTTACTCCCCAAGACAAGGGGTTTCCTTAATAACCAGGAGTCTGATCCTCCAAATAAATGTGTAGATATACTCAAACTTATTTGGATATCTTTTAAGTATATTTCGTGTATCTTTATAGGTATTTAACCAATGCAATATATCTTTAAATCGTATAAATCGGGCTTAAGCTCCCTTGGATCGTGTAGTGCCCCGTTCGATTAGTAAGAGACATCTTGTTTTATTTATTTTTGAGTGCATTGCATTGCATTTTTCTTAAGCTCGACTAAGTTAGAAAGTTTTTTGAGATTATTTAGACGTCCTCGTCTATTTTATCCTTTAAGTTAAGTAATTTTTGTAAATGTCCTCGTCTACTTAAACTAGTCTAAGTTTCGGCAATTCGTTTGCTAAGCAAAAAAAAATTCAGTTTCGATTTCTAGAGTAAGTCTTTTTACTAATGGGAAAATTTTATGTATACACAGCGATTCAATAATTATTGCAACATTACGAGCGGTTACAAATTTTTTTCTAACTTACCAAAACCATGGAAATTATTTGTGATAATGCAAGATTTCTGTTACCCAAAAAAATCTATCAGTATCCTTAAATTGCGGGAGTACAAATTAATGAATTTACGCTCAGTATCCCTATTACCCCAAAATTTACGCTCAGATTAATGACTTGATGAATCAGTATCTGTAAATTCATTCTGTTGCCCCAAAAAAATCGACGTATATTTTTATATATATTTCCTGTATATTTGGAGTGTATATTTTCTGTTACGAGAATTTCGAGTGTATATTTTATGTATATTTCGAGTGTATATTATCCTCTGAGAAGTTTTTCGTCAAAAGGCATTCTGTATACATAATATATACAGAAAACATATAAGTTCGGAAAATATACGAAATAACCTTGTAATTTTATATTTTCGTAATTCCTTTTGTTTCAACATATACATGTGATATATCCATTGGTTATAAACATAACATATACTAAGTAACAGTATATTTGTCGGGAACATATACAGAAGATATACTAATTGTATATAATGTATATATCTCGGACAGAAACATATACTGAAAATATAATGTATATATCCCAGACAGAAACATATACTGAAAATATATTGTATATACCCGCAACATATACTCCCGTCAACCGCAGCCATGACCAGATCCCAGACAGGGACATATACTGATATACCATAAGTTTTTTCAATGAATTTACTCTTTCATCTATCATCACCTCATTCACCTCTTCCTATAAATTTCCCTCCGGTAGCAAATCTGGTTTAGAACAGTGATTGTTCGCATGATTATCGCCATCGATTTTATTCACCTTGTTATCTCCATGAATTGAAATAGTATTAGCACGATTCGGGACATCGATATTGGCCTCAGCGGAGGACGAGCAGAGGCGGGCAAGCGCCATGTCGCGACGGTGGAGGAGAATCTTGAAGTCTTTGAGCAAAAGCTTTGGGTTCGGTGGCGGCCATCGACGGGGTACATCGGACGCTTTGCGGAAGTGATATCGCCACAATTCTTTATTCTCAGATTCCTTTTCTTCTGTTCTTTTGTGATGAGGAGTGAGATAACGAGAAAAGAAAAGGGTGGGAGGGAGAGAGAAGAAGAAGAAGAGATAAGGAGAAAGAGATACGTGATTTAGGGGAGAGAAATTGTTTTCTTAAAAAATTGTTTTTTGGTATATCTACAAATAATAACATGATTTTAGGTAGGAATGCTAATATTTATAACATATATGTAATTGTGTAATAAAAACTGAAATTAATGGTGTAGGAAGTAATTTTCTCATTACTAATTGTTTTTCCCAAGCAAGACATAAATTTTTTTTCGGCCCAAGGTTAAGGGATTGTTTGGCCCTCTAAGACACCAAAACCGGACCCTTGAGCCCAAATAATTCGGCCCCTTAAGCTCTTCCTTTTGACTCCCTTTTAATTCAAATTTCAAACACATCAAGGAGCCATTTTTGGTAACCCCATCAGCCTTCAATCAACTTAATTTAAGCTCCAATCAGCCCCGTATACCCCCTTTTATACGCTCAAATCAACCAAGGAAAAGGCAAGTAGTGAAGATCTTTCCCCTCATTACTTCTCTCTCCAAGACACATACTTTGATCATCTTCCTCTCATTTTTGCCCCCTTCCCCCTTGCAGCAGCCTAGTACACCTAAAACACTCTCTTTTTCTCTCAAAAGGTATCCCAAAAACCCATCTCTTTAGCCCATTCTCGTCGGCGACCAGCAACCTCACGCGAGCACCACACTGAGAGCCGAGAGCCTGTAATCGTCGCAAGCACCGGGTTAAGGAGGACCGCAAGCAGTAGCGAGAGCCCTCTGTCGCATTCGAGTAGCACCGAGGACAACCAAGGACCATCGGAGACGCAGCGCCTTTCCCCTCGACGCAACGCAACACCCGCGCCTCGCCGAGCCTTGTCCGCACACACGCCGTCGACCCGAGCAGGCAGCAGCGCCTCACCACCGTGCGCGGTCCACGCTGAGGAGTAAGCCGCCACTCCTGGTCAAGGAGATCCACGACTAGCCACGCCTAGCCGAGGGGAACTGAGATCCACATCGAGTCATCCATCCTTGCGTGATTAGGCGAGACTGAGGTCGAGACAACCGTGTCTGCGAGATTGTCGAGCCATCAAAATCCAAATCTCTCCTTAGCTTGTAGATTCCCGAAGAGATATAATAAATGTAATCACCCTCTTTTAATTGTTCAAGAAAATTGAAGAATATATGCTTAAGGTTCATGATTATGTTAGATCCTTTGAATTTACGAGAAAATTCAAGGAGTACGTGAAAGTTAAGTTGATTTGGACTCTCATGTTGATGCCTTGGTGGTTGAAAAATTTGGAGCCTTTGACCTCTAAAATTTTTTGTTCAATGTGCCTTTGAAATTTGTTGAAAGAAGCCGTGAAAAATCCCGATTCATGCCGTGTGTTGTTGACCTTGAAAGACCATTCTTTTATGCCGTAAATTGTTTGAGAAAATGAGATCTTTTAGCCTTTGACTTTTTGGTGTTGAAAATGCCTTGAAAATATTTTGAAAAGTGTTGAAAAATGTTTTGGAAAAAAGCTTTGAACGAAAAATCTTGAAATTTTCCTTGACAGATATTGGATTTTATTGTTGCGATGAGCCTCGTTTTTTAGCCAAGTTTCCATGTTTTAAAAATTGAAATTTTTAAGCCTTAAATCCTTGGACCGTGCCTGAATGTGAGTAGCCGCACGCCGGGAGGTCGTGGCCCAGGCGTCGTGTCGACCCAAAAAAACAGTAGCGCGCAGGTGCAATCGAGCGCTGGCCACGTCGATCGCGCAAGTGCCTTGCGCAAGCGTGCAACATGCAGTGTGCCACGAGTCGATCCCAGTCTCCTCGTGCCATGCTGCAGCTGCTGCCATTCGTACCCGCGCGCCATTGTCTGTGCTCCTCGCGAGCGTCCCAGCAAGCGAGAGTGCGCGCAGTTCTCGTGCCAACGTACAACTCGAGCGCCCCTGTCCCGCATCCCAGCAGCACAGCACGTGGGATCTTCCGTGCCAGCATGCACGACCCCGAGCCTAGCGACCCGTGACCGTCCCAGCAGCGTAGAGTGCGTGCGGTCACCTGCGCCAATGTGCACGATCAAGGCCACCAGACCCTGTCTCACGAACGAGCATGCACGTGGTGCCAACCGCAGCACCGGGGAGCGCTGGGTCGCGTCGAGCAAGTGAGCACCCCGAGCGACCTGCAGCTTCCGCGCCCAGGTGAATGGTGCCAGCCGCAGTCACGCCGCGCCAGTGCCCAATCTGCACTGAGCTACGAGACCGAGCCATGAGCCACCTTTTTAAGTTTTGAAAATATTTTTGAGCCATGAACGTGATTTCTAAGCCGGACCTTAACTCCGGAACCCTTTTTTCAAGTTTTAAAATACCCTTAGTCGAAAGTTCCAACTTTAAGAAAAGATTCACTAAGTCAAGAAACTTAAGCTAAGAAAAATTCTCCAAATTCGTAAATTATTTTACCAAGTTAAATTAAGGTATTGATCTTAGTTATGATTCTAAAAATGTGGATTCCAAGGAGTTGAGCCCTTGAGTTTCCACTGAAGCAACTACTCTTCATCGTTATCTGAATATGAATATCAGGTGGGGAAGTCTATTCCATGTTTTATTCCTTATAATTATTGTGATTATTATAATTGTTGTATGTTTCATGAATTTTTATTTGTTGCGCCTATGAGAAGGTTGCATTGTGTTGGGTTGCACCTATGAGAAGGCTGCATGATCAGTTTAGTGGCCAAGTTGGCCCAGTTCAAGGAAGCTTGGAGGTTGGAAGACCTAAGGATCTCGGATACCCCAAGGGACCTCATGGCTCGTAGGTTGGAAATGGGTAGATTGGGGTTTTGATCTGGTTTTCGCCCGAGCAGTTACCTCAGGTGCCAAAATTTTTTAAACGGCAAAGCCCGAGAAATTAACTCGGGTGCCAAAAGTTTTAAAGTGGCAACAACCAGAGTGTTGGCTCGACTGCCAAAATTTTTTAAATGACAGATTCCCGTGCAGGTAGCTTGGAGTCTCAAAGGGCAGAGGAAGTGAAAAGTTGGCCCGAGAGCCATAATTACACGCAAGAGGTAGCAGAACTCCAACGTAGTAGATTGTAGGGCCTTGATAAGCTCAAGACTTCTACGCCATAGACTTGGCTAAAGAACAATTGTTCTACTTTTAGACGAGTCTTGCATTAATTAGCTCGTCTTGTGTGTGT